CATTTAGATCAATTTCAAAGGCATTTCGGTACTTTTTAAAGCTGTAGTGACTTTCAGTAATATTGGTTGAGTATTCCTTTTTCTAACAACTTCCTGATTTGTATTTTACTTTTTTCCACATAGATGAGTATATTTCAGCACTTTTTATTTTCAGAAAAAATGGAACTACAAAACAGTACTAAGGAAGGAGATAACTGGTATATTATACTGATACATGAAGTAAATGATTTATACAAGGAAGTTTTTCAAGACAATAAGTACAGATACATCAGAATATGAATGTTTATGAAGAAGTATGAAAGTGTTGTGATACTAGTACCTGTAGAGCACTATTTTTTCTATTATACTAGAATCCAATAAGGAAGAGCCAATTAATCAGTAATATAGTTCTTTAATTTCTGAATAATTCACAAACAAAAGATCATTAGGTTTTTAATCATTAACCCAATAGATACAGTATATAATTACTGTGTGTGTGGAGGTCACTGGTGAATGGCACAATCTCTGCCTTCCAGTAGCTCACGCAAATATAATAGCAAGTCTTTCCTACATTAAAGTTACTTGAAGTAGTTGCTATAAACACAGATAAATGAGAAAGGAGCTTATTTTCAGCTGGAGAAATTTATATTACTATAGTAAATTCTATTACATGGTTGTGAGATTTTTTTATCACTTAAGAGTTTCTGCAAGGAAAAGTGTTTCAGGAATTTCACAGTACGTGATATAATATGACGATTCCTATTTATCTCATTTATACTATTGTAAAAATAGTTCATTTCGGGCTCGGGATTTAGCTCAGCGGCATAAGCACCTGCCTTGCAAGCAGGCAGTCGTGAGTTCGATCCCTGGTACCGATAAAAACGAAAAAGACCAAAAAAAACCAGTTCATTTAATCTTTTCAAGAATTGCTTTTCCATTCTTTTGTCAATAGACTTCATACACACACTCTCTAAAGAAATTCATGTAAACAGTGAAATAGTGACTGCTCACTCTGAATGCTCACAGTGAACCTAGCATTTTATTTATACTCCTCCAAAAGAGTTAACCACGTACCATTAATGATGTCATTCTGTATCAGTTTCCTACCAAGACACTTTTAAAATAAGTAGTGGGCAGGGATTTATTTGACATTTAGTTTAACCACATAAATTGTCACTGAAAAAATCCTGTTGATTTTTTTAAAAAATATTGTTAATTTTAACAGCCTTTGAGAGAAAAATAGGCATTTTCTTAAATACTCCTACAGGGATATAAAAAGATGTGAAATGTTTGAAATGTGAATTTTAAATACTGCAGTATATAAATATATGTGAATTGTGAAATACTTAACCTGCATGCCTTGTTTTGCAGTAAAGTTCAGATAAGTATTATAAACTTCATGAGGTTGAAGTCAGATTTTCCCTGGTTTTTCATACATTCTGCAGCTGGAAATAACCTCCATAAGAACACGCTTTCCTGCTGAGCTACACCCCCAGCCCTGCTGCTGTTCTGAGGGTTTTCTAGGTCGGACAGTTGAGTGGATTTTATAGTCAGTGGAAATACGGAGCCCATAATAAGATTTGCTTTTTCTTTATTGTAGTGTCACCTTATTTCCTCTTGCTTCACTGATGATAGTGTTTCATCAGTTTTCTCTGTTTTATGTATTTGTTTCTACTTTTCCATTGCAGTCTTCTACCCAGAAGCCTTCAAAGTTGCCTCTTTTCTCAACTGTACCATTATTCTTGTCTCTCTATGATTCTCCATTGCCTCTAGTACTGAGCTTGAACCCAGGCTAAGCCAGTGCTGTATCACTCACCTGCACTGCTGGTCCCTTTTTAGTGTATTTTGAGACAGGTTCTTGCTAAATGGCCCAGGCTGCCTTCACACTTGCGGTTCTCCTGCCTCAGCCTGCCACATAGCTGGGGTTACTGGCAGGAATGTCACCTCACCTGGCCCCTCTCTGTCTTGTGAACCATTAGTGAGGTAGATTCAAATACAAGAGAGGACTATTTTATTATAGTAGTCTCTACACTGATTACCTTGCTTTCTGTCTTTAATCAGTCTTCTGCCACCAGATATCTTTTTTTTTTTTTTTTTTTCTTTTTTAAAGACAGAATATTGCTGTAGCTAAGGCTGGCCGTGAACTCACTCTGTAGTTCAAGTTGGCTTCAAATTTATGGCAATCTTCCTTAGCCTCCCCCATGAGTCCTAGGGTTACAGACATGTACCATCACTCCCAGCTTTCCACCAGAATTCTTTTTTAAGGTACCAGGAATTGAACTCATGAACTCATACTTGCCAGGCAGGCACTTATGCTGCTGAACTAAATCCTCAGCCCTTCCACCAGAATTCTTAACTTAGAATGCCAATCTAATTATTTTATTTCCCTGCATTAAAATATTGATTCCTTGTCACATAGTGAAATCCTTATCGCTACACGTCCTTGGATTTTTGGTTCTGCAAGAGTGGAAATCTAAGTACATCCTCCTGTGGACACATTTCTCCCTTTCCCTAGAATGCCTTTTTTCATTTTTCTCTTTCCCCATGGGTTTCTTTACCTCCTTTTCCCCCTCTGACATAGTTAAGCATTCCTGATTCTTGCTCTCATCGTTTTCTGCAGAATTTTGTTAGTGCTTTCCTTGCATTTATAATCTAGTAATTTATGGTGTTTGTCCTATTAGTCTATAAAGTCACTTAGCATAGCAGTTGTGATAGTGATAATGTTCATGTATTGTTTTAAAGAAATTATCCAAAATAATGATACCGTTTATTGATTACCTGTTCTATGCAACTACTTAGTAAGTAAGAATTTAACATGTAATGCTGCATCTAATCCTCACAGTACTATGAGTTAGTGTTATTGTTATCATCATCGTGTGCATTTTACAGAGGAGGCAAAAATTTTAATAGCATTTCTAGGGTCTTGCGGTTAAGAAGTGGCTGGGTGAGATCCAAAAGACTGGCTCTTGTATTGCACTAGGAACACTCAATTGTTTAGATTGGTTTCATTCTAACAGAATAAGCTTAGTCAGTGAAATAAATTTGTAATTGGGGGAATTAAGAAATCACTAAATGGACTGAGGGAGCCTTTTTTTCTTTTTTAAATGGAAGACGTCTTCACATCCTGAAACAAACACACATTGCACAATTGTCTTTACTGAGCTTTTGTTTACATGGCTTGGATAAAAAGGAACAAAGACGCATAATTTTTAGACAACTTTCTTGATGTATAACTTATAACAAATTACACATTTAAAATATATGATGTGGTAAGTTTTGACATACATAGATAACCTAAATCATCACCTCAATCAAAATAATGAATGTATCCATCATTACCCAGACTTTCCCATCCAGCCCATCCCTCTGTTTGAAGCAGCTGGTGATCTACTTTCTTTCATTGTAGTATGGTCTATGTATTGTAGAGTTTCATATAAATGGAATTATACAGTGTGTGTGTGCTCTTTTGGTGCCACTCATTACATTCATCCTGATGATTACTTTTTCTTTTTTGGCGGGGGGGAATCAAACTCACAGCCTGATTATTTTGAAAGTCATTTATGTGGTTATGTGTATCAGGCATTCAACTTAAGGGTACATGTTGTGAATTATATTTGTTATACAAAGTAATTATTTTCTATTTCCTTCACTGTGTGTTATGTTTTAGAAAAGGTTTAGATGAGACTGATTAAAAATTCTTGGAGCTGGGGATTTAGCTCAGCAGCATAAGCGCCTGCCTTGCAAACACACAGTCGTAAGTTCAATCCCTGGTACCAAAAAAATTAGAAAATTTTTAAAAAATTCTTTTGAGCCTGTTTTTAAGTCCTTTAGTTTCCAAACTTACATATGCTTCTGTAAGAATTTAAATGCATTTTCATTTTCAGTGAGTGATCTTTTCATCTACTAAGTGTCTTTTGTAAATTTAAGCAGTTAAGTACATTTTCCTCACTTTTGAAATGTAGTATATTTCTGAATATTACCTTATTCACTCTTTTGGGGGAATCTTGGGGAAAACCCTTCTGCTTGGTCTCATGTGTAAAGTGTTATCTCAGAATGTCTTACAGACATTAGCTATAGATATTAAGCTGTAAAGCACTAAGTCAGTGTGATTTGAATGACTTGTGTTAACACTGCGTAGGAGCTTAATTTGAGGAAAAGGTCTGTCATCCAATCTCGAACAGTTATATTTGTGTTGTTAATGTTGGGAGATTAAATCTTGGTCTTAGTCTGCTGTTTAAAAAAAACAGAATTCCCAATATTTTGTAAAAGTGATATGCACTAATAAAATATATGAGAAAAAAGGAAAACAAAAAGCTTTATATCTTTAAAAAATAACGGGGAGAATATGAATTCACACTAGCTGATGAATGATACTGTGTAGGAGTTGCTGTTTTTATTTTTGTTGTATAGAAGGAAGTCCTTTTCAAGGATATTGTGCTGCAACAACTAGGGATAATATCTTATAATTCACATTTAATGGTTCCAGGAAGAAAGTTACATGTATAAATATAAATACATACGTGGATAAAGTAAGTTTGGCAAAATTATTGAAGCTAGGTAAGGAGTACATAGGTTATCCCTGGTCTCTTCATTTAAAAAGTTTGAACATTTTTGTAAACAAATATTGAAAAAATAGAGGGACATCAAAAAACATTGATTTGCTAATCATAGCAAGCATTCTGTACTAATTTAAAATGAAACAGTAGAAAGAATATATAGGAGCTCTGTGCTATTGTTACAATGTTTCTTTAAGTCTAAAATTATTTCAAACTGAAGTTTTTTTAAAGTAAAAGTACTAAACTCAGTTATATTGGTATTCTAATCTCATTGCCCCTTCCCGTTTTAACCTTTCAGGTGGGTATAGCCCATATGTAGAGATAGTTGAACAACCCAGGCAGAGGGGAATGCGGTTCAGATACAAATGTGAAGGGCGATCAGCAGGCAGCATCCCAGGGGAGCACAGCACAGAGGACAATCGCACCTACCCGTCCATCCAGGTAACAGGCCCGCTCCTGTGTCTGTCTCACCATTGGCTGCTTCATCTGTTAGCAGTGGAAATCACAGGAAGCCTCAATTGGTTCACAGTCCTCTCTGGAGTCTTTTTCTTTTCTTTTTTTAAATTTACCCGTATTAGGTAGATGTACCGGGTCATTTCTTAAATATAATACAAAATCTTCCTTGCTAGTACTTCCTTGCTAATTATTTGTGTATTAATATAATAGAGTGATTCGCAGTACTTTGGCAGATTTTAGATCATTATTCCTTTCATGGAGCACAAAACATATAATGAGGAAAGACCTTCTTACATACAGAGGTAACAGAAATTAATGCCCAGATTAAAACATGGATTTGAGCACTTAATCAGAATTGTTCTTCCCGCAGTCTCAGTCTAGGGCCAGTGGAAAAGATGTTTTTTTTTTCCTTACTTTTAATGCCTGTCACAAATCCTTTGGGTCACTGACATCATTCATGAGATATTGTAACTTTTTAAATTTAACTTTTTCATGTTAACAAATTTAGAAAAGAGTTTTTGACTAGAGCTGATTTTAGTAAATATAAGTTATACTAAATTTATAACTTATAAAGTGTATGGTTTTTTTAATCCTTTAAATGCTAGTTTAAAAACTTAATGCTGAGATGGGTACAGTGGTGTGTACCTGCAGCAGTCCCCAGCTACTCAGGAGACTGAGGCAGGAGGGTCGCTTAAGCCCAGAATTTTGAGACTAGGCAAAATAAGGAGATGCTGTCTCAAAACAAACCAACAAAAAGCCAAATAGCAAACAGGATTTTGAAAAATGGTGCATATCATCTTTCATCAGTAGATCTTAATTCAGTTTTAGAACTAGATTATTTATAAAGTACGCTGTTGAATTTAGAGACTTGCTAAATTATAGTTTAGCAAGGCAAAATTATGTATTTAATACCAAATTCCTATTTTTATTTTAAAATAATACATAAAACATAAAAATTATACATAATTGGATACAGTAATGCTTGATACATATATATGTCACATAGTGTTTAAATTAATGTATTTATCTCCAAAAACATTTATAATTTCTTTTATGTTGAAAACAGTCAAAGCCATTTCTGCTAGCTTTTTGAAATGTATAGTACATTATTGTTATCTGTGACCACAATATTGTATAATAGTACACCAGAGCGTTTTGCTTTCATGTAATGACCAAATTTGTATTTTTGTTTTGTTTTTGAGACAGGGTCAGGCTATCCTTGAACTCACAGTGATCCTCCTGCCTCAGCCTCTTTAAGTGCTGGGATTACAGGCATGTACCACCACACCCAGCCCGAATTCCTCTTTTTCAATAACATTTTTGACAAGTAACATTTTGACTTCTAAGTCTTTTTATTTAAGTGTTAAAATCGGTGAGATATAATAAAAAAGAATTTTTAAAATTTTGTTCTTCTAATCTTTTGAGTCATTTTTAACTCTACTACATAACTTGTTTATGTTTTTAAAATATTCATAAGATCTGCATCCTTAGCATTCCAATAGGTCCTCCATATACTTTATGGTATGAGTAATATCTAAATTAGCCTTTCTTACAGTCTTGAGTGCTTACCTTCTCTTTCATTCAGAAAGGCAGCAAATACTTCCTGGTTACTGTTCATGTTACGTCTAAATTTAGAATTACGGATTTTAGTGCGCCTTACCTGGAAGTTACCCATTCTTGTTTAACTATTTGCTTCCCTTTCTGTTATATTTCTTGCTTGTTCTGTCAAATTTGCTAGCTTCAGAAGTAAACAGCAGTTCTCCATCTCTAAGTGTCTCCTGCCTCTTTTTTTTCCTCCTGCCTCTTTATGGTGAGTATTCTAGATGTTCTTTCTGTGTGAACCTTAATATTGTTAAATTCAGCTTGCTTTACTGCTTGTTGTATAGTGAACACTTTATATGCCTACTGATTAGTACATATTCTTGGGAAATATCATGTTTAGTAAAACAATCATATTTACATACTGTTATTTTCAGTGTGGCTTAAATGAATGTATTTTGAGAAATGTTTATTGTATGATAGCACATCTAAGAACAAGGCACTCAGTTATACAACACTTGAGTATTTCCTTATGTTCTGTAATAAAGCTTGTAGTTTAGTTTTCCTTGTCTTACAAGGAAAATAAACCGAGTCCGATATGACCAGTTGAAAATAGGGTAGAAAATGATATGTCCAGGTGTCAGCAGGTCAGTTTTGCCTACTGGTGTTATCTGGAAGGCTTCATCTCAAATGTAGTCAGTTGAACTTTTTTTTAATCTGATGCTAACTACATTATAAATTGAACTCTAATTTAGGATATTGGTTGTTAATGGGTATACTTATGGATCATGTATTTACTCTCTTTTCAGATTATGAACTATTATGGAAAAGGAAAAGTGAGAATTACCTTAGTAACAAAGAATGATCCATATAAGCCTCACCCTCATGACTTGGTTGGAAAAGACTGCAGAGATGGCTACTATGAAGCTGATTTTGGACAGGAGCGTAGACCCTTGTTGTAAGTACACAGTCACACACATCTTCAGGAACAGGGTAAACATAGCATGCTCTGTTTCTTACACAAGGCCATCTAATCTTTTAGCAGAATACAATAATTTCTCTTCCTATTTATTGTAGTGTGTATTTACATTTCATACTGTTCACATTAGAACTACCCTTTCATTCTTCATTAGTAGACACAGCACTCTATCTCTGAGTGTCTCCTGTCTCTTTTTTTTCTCCTGCCTCTTTATGGTGAGTGTTCTAGATGTACTTTCTGTGTGAACCTTAATATTGTTAAAGAAGAATACTTCTTTATTATTACTGTGAGTAAAAACTTATTTTATGCTGTTTTTTTCCTCAGTTTAAACAATTCATAAAAGAAAATTTTACTCTTTTTATGTTTAATTTAAAAATTGCTAAATGTGAGAAAATCAACTGGAAAACTCTAGAATTTATTAAGAAAGGGGCACATTATAAAATTAGCATATATCAAACATTGTAAGGTTAAAAAAACAAAACCAGCTATGTGTAGTAGTATATGTCTATAATTCCAGGCCTCTAGGAGCTGAGGCAGGAGGATTGCAAATTTGCACACAGTCTGGGCAACTTAGCAATTAACCAAGACCTTGTTATAAAATTTTTAAAAATTTCTTCCCAGCACTCAGGACACTGAGCAGGAAAATTTCTGTGAATTCAAGGCCAGCCTGGGTTAGATAGTGAGTTCACGGCCACGCTAAATTGCATAGTGAGATAGTGAGACCCTGTTTCAAAAGAAAAATTTATAAAATTAAAACATTTCTAAGGGTGTAAAGGAAGTATGCTGGGAGTGTAGCTTAGTGCAGAGGCTATTCCCCAGTATCTCTCTGTCTCTGTCTCTCTCTCTGTGTCACATACACACGGACACGCACACATAGAGTCATTTTTATGTTGATGAGACTACCAGAGTTGGGCCTATTCATATAGTAATGATAATTTAAATTAATAAAAGCTTTTTGGGCCATGCATGGTGGTGCACACCCAGCACTTGGGAGACTGAGGCAGAAGGATTGCTGTGAGTTCACATCCAGCCTGGGCTACAAAATGAGTTCTAGGCCAGGCTGAACTGCACAGTGGAATTTCATTTCAAAAAGACAAAAAAAACTTTGATAAGCCATTTATATATGAAAATCCTGAACAATAGGCAGCCCCTCTAGGTACTTTTCTTCAGAAAATAATAAGAATGTTCAGCCGGGGTTTAGCTCAGTGGCATATGTGCCTGCTTGGCAAACACAAGGTCTTGAGTTCAATCCCCGGTACCGAAAAAAAAAAAAGTGTTCAAACCTTTAACTATAGTATTATTCAGTGCACCCTTGTTTGTGATGATACAAAGTTAGAAGCAATCTAAAGAAAAGAAACTAGTTAAATAAACTGGTATATTCTATATTCTATGTAGCTATAAAAGCAGTATTGCAAATGTTTGACAAATTTATGTGTCAGATAAATACAACAGAGTTTAAAATAAGAAAATATCACATTGGCTCCCCTTAATTCATGTAAGTAATATATATTAATTATAATAAAATAATTTTAAATTACATTAGAAAGAAATATTTTTCTTTGATTTCTGAGAGAACTTGTTTTACTTCCTACTTCTCTAGCAGTTAAAGTTTTGGACGATCTCAGTTACAGTCCTAAGAATGACTTTGGTGGGGGCTGAAGATCGATCTCAGTATGTGTATGTAGTGGAGGATGGCCTTGACGTCATGTTGATCCTTCTCGCAGCCTTCCGAGTGCTGGGATTACAGGCATGTACCACCGTTCCTGGCCCAACAATGACCTTTGTGTTTGCCTCATCTCCTCTCTCCAGGATCCCACACATTATGTTTAGCATTGTGTTTAACATAAATAATACTTTGTTTTGATTTGTTTTGTTTGATACCGGGGATCCAACTCATGACCTCGCATTTGCCAAGCAGGCACTTATGCTTGCTGAACCAAACTCCCGGCTGAATATTTTTATGTTAACATGTTTCATGAAATGTCTTGGGTATTAAATCTATAGAGGTGATGCAGTATTGTTCTCAAAAAATCCCTTTAGGGGACATGTCATAACATTTTTTTCCATTCTTTGTGTTACTAATTGGCATTCTATTAACAAAGAACTTTCCCTTCCCCATTTAAACTGTCAGTGTATGAGTTCTCCTGTATAGTGTACTGTAGCCCATTAGTGCATTATTTTGATTTTTAAATTGACCCAACTCTGACCAATACAAAGCTGTCAGTCTGTCTCCTGTACCCTTTTGATATGTTCTCCTCCTTCTTCAGATGCTTCTTCACTTTCCTGTGTAACACTCTTTTTAAGAGCTGTACTTTGCTTGCTCTAGTCCTTAAGTCATCAGTTTCTTCCAGCGATTCCTTATTCATTTTTATTTAATCCAATTGCTCTCTCTTAAATGTCTCAAAAGCACCTCAAAAAAATGTACCCCAAACCATAATCTTACCATAATCACAGCTCTTTCTCTTCAAAATTAGTCTTCTAAGGTGCTTTGTCTTAATGGTTGCTTTAAAAGTCCTACACATAGGTGTTATCCCTACATCCTTTACACAGGGGGATCAACTAACACATGCCTCCCACATAGCTCGTGAACCTGTCCGTGTTGTCACGCAGTGACATCTGTCTCCACCACACCTCTGTGTTCTAAATTTGGGCTGCTGGAATAGCCTTCTGCATGTGGTCTTTCAGCAGCTCTTTTTAATACCTCTTCCCCTTAGTCTCCCTTCACTTTAGGGAGAGTGATCTTTTAAAATGCAAATCAAACTGTTACCCTGCACAAGACATTTTAATTGTTTTATTAGTCTTTCAGAGTAAGGACGGCATTCCTTCAATGGCCTGCCTGCACACCCACCTGTATTTCTAGGCTTCTGCTCTATTGTGCATCCTGTGATCTCTGCATGCCCCTCACAAAAGCCTCTTCTTAATGTCTTGTGCTCACAGTGATCTTTTTTAGGAACCTTTGCATGATCTGTTCCTTTCCACACTACTTCTATTCCATTTGTTACTTAAGTATCACTTCCCTTTCTGCCCCGAATTAATAGGACTCTTCCATCATAGACTCCTCTAAACATTTATATTTACTTCATAAAACTTGTCATAATTTCAGTTTGTTATTTAATGGCTGTCCGACTCACCAAAGTAGGGGTTAGTAGACTTTTCCTGTAAACTGCGGGATGGTAGAGATTTTAGGCTATGCAGGCCTTACGGTTTTTGTTGCAACTGCTCAGTTCTGCTACTGCAGCATGAAAGTAGCCACAAATGATATGTAACTGAATACGTAGACCATGTTCCAGTATAAAGTTTATTTAGAAAAACAGGCACGTGCTAGGTTGGCCGATGTGTTATAGTTTGACAACTCCATACCACACTGTACGTTCCATGAGGGGAGAGGTTCTATATCTCCGTTACTTTCCAAAATTCTTAATATGATAGGAGGAGCTCCAGAGCTTGTTGAATGACTGTGATGAGTATATGAATGAGGAATTTATTCAGATAACCTGTGAGATTCTTGGTTTCCTTGTGTCGGGTTAGGTTGTGGGGGGCTTGTACACATGTGTGCTCACATTGAGGATCAAACCCAGGGTTTGTGCACGCCAGGCGAGTGCCCTATTGCTGAGCCCTCAGAATTTCAAAAACCTCCATTACTTCTATGATTCTGCAAATGGCAGTCAGGTATGACTATTCATATTTTGTTTCAGGTGAAACAAAATAAAGCAGCATGTAAATATATTAGATGAGGAATTTCTAAAATCTGTTATCAAAGAAAAAGAACAAAACTTAAGAATCTTTCAAAGAAGTTGAATACCTCTGAGGAAGAGGATTGTAGTTTCAGAAATAATTATGAATTCATGATTTATTTTTAATTATTGGAGGAAGAAAAGCTATTGTCAAAGATACTTTAAGTGTTACACAACCTGCAGTGTGGTGAGTGTGCAGTGCAAACAGAGACAGCACAAGTGTGGAGGGAGGTAAACAAGGCAACTTCTGGTTGCCAAGTGCAGTGTGAAGTTTGAACAAATAGTAGTGTCATTATAATTGAGTTCTGTTTCCTTATTCACGCCCACCTAGTTTTAATGATGTCATGGTTTTTCCATGTGGGATCAAATATGACTGGTCGTGGTAGGGGAGTTCCCCGCACCATCCTCTGTACTACACATATGCAAATCAGTAATATTTGTAGCTATTGAGAAGTTTTCCATAAGTGATATCTTGAAACTTTTGTTAAATGTTAGTATTTAACTTCTTTCTAATAAAAAAACACGTTTCATTGTATCTGATAACTTCATGTAACATAGCACAAAGTATATTCCATTGCTATTAGCTGTGAAATTGGGGCTGAAAAATCACGGCTCTGTGGATGAAATAGGCAGCCTAAGTGAGTGTGGAGGAAGAAGTGTAGGAGGACTTAGTGAACACTGTAGCAAACTTGAGAGCCTTGTCAGTGCTGCTATAGGTGCTCAGTCTCAACTAATTGTTTCTGTAATAATCTAGTATTGCCAGACCTCTAAAATGTTCATGAAGCCAGAAATTCAGATACGAGTTGATTTTTAAGTTTTGGTAACTGTGCAGGTATTGTTTTTCTTTCTTTCTAACTTAGGCAGCATTCCTACAAGCTTTGCAAACATCTATGGACTTCAGGCATCTTTACATTTTTTGCTTCATACGATCAAGTACACAAGTTTTAATGATTTAATTATCAGTTTGCGTTTTGGTTTGCTTTATCTTTGGTATATTTGGCATAGGCATATTGGTAAGATATAATTGTAAAATATTATAAAAATGGTATAGTACTATATATACTGTTTCTTTTAACAGTTGTCTAAGAAGTATAATGCCACCTCTTTGCTCTTACATCATAGCAGTTAGAAGTACAGCTGATGCGTTTACATCCCTGGCAGCATGATGACTTCTCAGTGTTGGATATAGCTTGCTTTCTGTAGTACTCCTTTTATTTAGCTGTAATGCAGTTTTGAAAGTTTTATTTTTTTCTTCTAGTTTTCAAAATTTGGGTATTCGATGTGTAAAGAAAAAAGAAGTAAAAGAAGCTGTTATTTCAAGAATAAACGCAGGAATCAATCCTTTCAATGGTAAGTATATTTGATATAACCGTTTCTATACTTAGATACAGACAGACTGTGTGATACAGTCTGTGTGATACTTAGATACAGACAGACTTCTATTTATACCCTAAACTTGTATTTTAAACGTGATTTTGAGTTTTGTGTTCAGTTTTCTTACTCACTTACACCTGTATCTGATAAATAAAGTATATTTAAAATATTTAATATTTTAGGAAAAATTAAATATAGACAAGGCTCTCCAGTATCACTAGAGAGTGTCACTATTTTCTCTTTCTCTAAGAAAACTTGAGAATGTTCTGATTCCCTTAATGTAGCCTGCCGTAGGCCACTTTCCAACAGACAATGTATATATTCCTTTCTGGATATTGAATAGGCATTGTGGTTATGGGGTATTGGAATGTGTTTAATTTTTGGTTTTGTTTTTTGAGACAGGGTCTCATTTTGTAGTTCAGGCTGTCCTTGAACTCTCTATGTGGTCCAGGCTGGCCCTGAACTCGTGCCAATCCTCATACTTCAACCTCCCAAGTGAAGGGATCACAGGTTTGCACCACCACACCATGCTGGAATACATTTAATTTAAAGGCATATTCAGTAGCAAACCTAATCCCACATATGAAAGTACAGGAATAGTAGAAGCAATACAAATTATTTTCATAATGTATTTATGTATATGGCTAGATATTTACTGTTCAGTGAATTTTCTTTGGGGTAGCATTTATTAAACATTTATGAGAATGGCACAATCTGGGTATGGCACCTGGTACTTTTTAGAACTCTGTATTGCTTGAGTGGGTAGTTGCAGGCGTTCTGTATTCTTCTTGGTAGTCTTCATTTTAAAATCTTCTGCAGCTACTTAAATAGACATATCAGGAGTTGCATAACTGTAAAATTCACAAAGAATAGATTTCTTTGTCATATCTAAGCCATTATGTATTGTGGGCTTGTATTTTTCCTAGATATGTGAAAGTAATTTGGGGAAATGATGATTTAAGGAATACACTCACAAATAAGTAGTTTTTATGCCTGTAGGATGTGTGTATCTTACATGTAGGTCTTCATTTCTCATGCTATTTAGCCTTAAGCAAAAGTTTTCTTTATTCCTTTTGGTCTTAATTGCCAGAAAAGATTACTATGAAGTTTGATGCATATTTTTCTAAAATTTCCTTTAACATGTATATTCATATACAGACATATTTTTATGTAAAAGAGATCATTTTATGCTTGCTATTCTACTGCTTATTTTTTTCTACTCGGAATTATATTTTAAACCTCTTTTTACATCAGTACTTACAAATCTGTTTTATTTTTCCAGCATACTATTCTGTTGTTTGGGTAGACTAATTTGTTTATTCTAATGAACACTTAATTTTTTTTTTCATTTTAAGAAGCTCCTGTGTTATTATTTCTCTAGGATAAATTTTCAGAAGTGGGAAATTTCTGTATCCGGAGTCTGCCAGTGGGGTGGGGATATAACTCAGTGGCACAGGTCCTGCCTGGCAAGTGCAGGGTCCTGAGTTTGATTTCTGGTTCCCAAAAAAAAAGTCTTCTCACTCAAAGATCTGAATCAAGACCAGACTTTTAAGGAGTCTGTGCAAGCCTGGGTGCAGTATAAAATAAGGAGATTATAAACAGGAGCTATCGTTTGTTAATAAGGCTTTCCTGTATGTGAGGAAGTGAATGGGAAGTGTTTTACCTGTGCTTTTTTTTATTGAATCGTTGAACACTGTCTCACAGAAGAGAAAACCAAAGCTTTGGTCATATACTATGCCAGGATAGTCAGAAAATGTAAGTGCTAGCTGGAATTCTTTCCTTTTTTGGGAGGAGGGCAGTGGATACTGGGAGTGGAATTCAGGACCTTCTACTTGCCAAGCAGGCACTGCACCACTGAATTAAATCCCCTGTCTCTAAACCCGGTTTCTTGATGTCAGTGGTAAAGGCATTAAAAAGGAAAATGGGAGAGGTTTTTTGTTTTTGTTTGTTTGTTTGTTTTTGCAGTCTAGAACCAGGGGTGAGATTAATACCGAATATCCAGATAGTACTTAAAGTAATTCTTAGTAGCTAGTGTTTTACATATTTACATCATTTAATCCTTATAACAACCTAGGTGATAGATACTATTGATGTGTTCATTTTATGAATAAAAAATGAAGGTGTAGAAAAGTAGTTTGCTGGAGGTCATATAGGCGATGAGTGGTAAAGGCAAGATTGGTTTTGCTTTCTGCTTTTTTGAGGTAGGGTCTCACTGTGTAGCCCAGCCGGCCTTGAACTCATGGTGAGCCTTCTGCCTCAGCCTCCCAAGTGCTGGGATTAAAAGCATGCACCACCATGCCTGGCTGGTAAAGGCAAGATTTGAATATGGTAGCCCGACTCTAAGACTCATATTCTTAACAACTGTGCTCTGCTACCTAGATGAATACGGATTTGTGGATGGAATGATCCTGCCAGTTGATCCATCACATTATTTATGTTTTCAGTGGTCACTTAGATATTTTGTTGTTATTTTTTTCTTGCTGGAGGGGAACTAACCTTGCACATGCTAGTCAAGCACTCTGCCACTGAGCTAATTTACTGTTTTATCAACCATTTCTCCCTCTAACCATTCCCTATCTTTTTAGTTTAGGAATTTAACCATCTTATAATTTGAGTTACACTCATTTTTGCCCATTAGAATACTCTTAGAATAGTTCTTCATCGAAATATTGTATTCAGAAACTTGGCAGTGGCTTTTTACATAGATTAAAAACTGAAAGATACCCACATTCAAAGTCATCTACATACAGTGTTAACATCTTTCCTAGCTTGTCTTCCACTACCTCTCTTTATGACCCCTTAACCATTGCAGAAAACCCTTGTTCATCTACCCAACCATCCCAGCCCAGTCCTGTCTAGTTTTTTAACTGACATTTTAGGAGTGTAGTCTTATATCACTTTTAACCTAGACTATTAGTGACAGCCTCTAAACTTATGTCACTGCCTTTATCCTTGACCCCCTTGCAAGCATCCAAAAAAGTCCTTTTGAAATCAGTATGACCATTTCTGTACTCTACTTATCTTTAAATGTACTTCAGCAACAGTTCTCAATTCTTTTTTTTTTTTTTTTTTTGAGATGGGGTCTCACTACAAAGTTCAAGCTGACCTTGAGCTCACTTTGTAGCCCAGGCTGGTCTCGAACTCACAACAATCCTCCTACCTCAACCTCCTGAGTGCTGGGATTACAGGTGTGAGCCACCATGCCGGGCAGTGCTCAGTTCTTACATGCATAAAAATCCTATGGTACTTAACTTAAAATGCAGATTCTAGGCCAGGTCTGGCGTGGAGCCTAGGGGTCTGCATTTTACAAAGTGCATTCAGACAAGTGTTTCTAAATTTCTTTGTGAACCACAGTAAAAGATAGATTTCATTTCTTCCCTCGGTACCTATGCATGCCCCCTCACATCTTTACTGCGGTGCCCTTACCTTATCCTTACTCTTCATTGCATTTTATATTTTTCTTCTCTTCCTTCCTTCCCTTCATCTCTCCTTTTTTTCTTGTCTTCTTTTTTTTCTTCCTGCTTTGTTTCTTTCTAGAAAATGCTTACTATTTAATCCACTAAATTAATGTCATGACTTTGGGTACTACTGAACTGTGGTTTGAAACATCTGCCCTAAATGATCCTGATACAAGTGAACCTTGAACCACATTGTGAGAAAGTGAGTTCAGCTTTTCCAGCATTAACATGCAAGTCTTCATACTCTGGTTCTATTCCAGTTTTCATCCTCTTCCACCATGCTTGTGTACTTTACTTTTTGTCATTCTGAACTATTTGCATTGTTAGGAAGCTGTGTTCTTTCTTGCCACTGTGGTTTTCTACATGCACTTCTTTTCTGATCTTCTTGAATTCTTCTTGATCAGACTTCAAGTTTAAGGTAATACCCCATTTAAAGCCTTCCCTGCCCTTCCCTTCCCAAACAGAGCTGCGTATTCCTTCTGTTTTTCCAAAGTGCTTATATATATTTCCAGTATGGTTTGCTGTAAATATTTATGGTTTGCTGTAAATCGTGAAAGTGTGGACATTGGAAACTGTCTTCTGTGTGTTATCTTTGCCACTTATCTCAGTGTCTGGCTCCTGATTATGGTTTAATTACAATTTGTTCAAACAAAAACCAGACATATGTATGAATGAACATGCCTCATTTGTACTTGTCTACTGAAAATATTCAAATTGTTTTTTCTTATCCCAGATTCTCCTTTTCAGTTCTCTTAAACTGAAGGTAATATTCTCTTTTTCTGAGCATTGATCATGAAAAGTTTCATGACATCTGCTGGATAATTTAATTCCTCAGTGACTGTCTTCTGAGATGAATTTCATGCTTGTTTTATTATTAGGTGATAGAGAACTCTCTCATATGTGGAGAGACATGTTTGGTAAAGATGTCATTATGCAGATATAGTGCAATCCAAACCAAATACCAGCAAGCTTTTTATTAAGTATGAAATTATAATTCAAAACAGAAATAGGAGGGTACTCCTTTCTTTTGCAGTGCTGGGATTTGAACCCAAGGTCTTACATGAGCTAGGCAATCACTCTATCACTGAGCCCTACCCTTCTCCCCTATTTTGACCTCATGATTTTTCATAACCTTGTTAGCTCTCTGATCGATGTCTTTAGAGGAATTTTCATTTTGTTCATTGAGTTAAGGGAGAGTTGATCCCAGTTATGTATGTCATACAGCATTATCACAAATACAACCTCATTTTGCTAGCTTTTACTTTCAGTTTTCTTTAGCAATTTATAAGATACCTAAATCATCTTTCAAAAAAAGCTTTCATTTTCATATAAAGTATTGAGAAAATTCAAAGCAAAATCTCATAAAAATGAACTTTTGAGACCTAAGTAGAATTTCTTCACTTTGATGGAACCATTATCTATTTTAAACTTACTGGTTTATTAACTTATCTTTTATATAACATTTTAAAGTACTTTAAATTACTTTCATTGAGGTACTGAATCCAACTAAATACAGTTTCCCATATGACCTTGTCTTAGTTACTTTTTACTCGCTGCTGAGACAAAATACCTGAAGCCCAAGTTGGGAAAGGAAAGGTTTATCTCTTACAGTTTTTGGAGGTTTCAGTCCACACTCAGTTGGCTCCAAGGCAGGCGGGCATGGCTGGGCCGCAGTTCATGGCGGCTGCAAACAGCAAAAGGGAACCAGCAGAGAGCAAGACACACCTTCTTCCTGCCATTATATCACAAACTGGCTCCACCCCTTTGTGGGTAGAGCACTGACACCATCAATCCTAGCACTAGACAATGAACCAATCACAAATGCACAATGCAAACTCCTGAGGCCTGGGGGCCACAGACATAAACCATGACAGACCTCAAGATAAAGAACATTTCCAGCCAAGCATGGTAGCACATGCCTGAAATCCCAGCACTTGGGAACACTGAACCAGGAGGATCCCAAGTTTGAACACAGGCTAGGCAGCTTAGTAGTTGAGCCAGTGTCAGTGCTTTTAATCATACAAAGATGTTCTGGTATACTCACTCAAATGTTAAGGTTCAGAATGGTTATATTTGCATAAATTTAATTGTTTCAGCTACTGGGACTGTGTATATCATTAAATAATAAAATACATTTTTATCACTACCTATTAAGAGTAAGGAATTTGATTAATTAGTTTTCCAGATTTAGCATTTTAAATTTTAATATTTAACAAAATAAAATTTTAATATAATTTAATATGTATATTTATTCTTTAAAATATGGTAATATTACTTATAGTTCCTGAACAGCAGCTGCTTGATATTGAAGATTGTGACCTCAATGTGGTGAGACTATGTTTTCAAGTTTTTCTTCCTGATGAACATGGTAATTTGACAACTGCACTACCTCCTGTTGTTTCTAACCCAATTTATGACAACCGTAAGTATTTTTTTATTTTAGACTATCTTAGCTTGTTTTTTTAAAAATATTAATTTTTAAAGTATTTTCATAATTAGAAAAATGCATGTTCATTCTTAGAAAATCTCAGACATTATAGAAATGTATGTAACAAAATAAATCTCCTGTAATCTCACCCTGCAAAAATAATCACAGTTGTTTGATGTATATTTTGGCAATTTCTTCTTCATATATGCAAATAGATCCTCATCATCATTATTTACACAAAATAATTTTTGGCAGCATTAAAAAATTAACACTAATCTTTTTAAAAACTTTTTTCTCTTATCAATGTATCTTGAACTTCTTTTCCTTTTAGTTACATTTTTCTTTTCAGTAATATGAGAGCATGTTTCATTATGTGGCTATATCACAGTTCTATTAAATCATAAAGATTTAATCATGCAAGATTTGATTGGTTTCTTTTAATATCTCTTCCTGTCTTTCTAACAAACTGTACTACAATAAATAGTATTATATGTGCATATATTGTGCAAATATTTCTCTCACACAGATTTCCAGAAGTAGAAATGCTAGCACAAAGAATATGGAAATTTATCATTTGATTATGAAACTGTCCTCAAATTTTTTTTTTTTTTTTTGTCTTTTTCATTTTTATCGGTACCAGGGTTCAAACTCACGACTGCCTGCTTGCAAGGCAGGCACTTATGCCGCTGAGCTAAATCCCCAGCCCCCTCAAATATTTTTTAATGTGTAAACACACACTTATGTATGTGTGTTTATGATGATTGTACCTGTGTTGCATGTAAAAAGTTAGTGAGACATGGGGCTTTAAGGTAGACTAGAGTATCCTCATCATGGAGAGCCTTGAATGCCAATGAGAGCTGTAGTACTATAATCATACTGACCAGATAAAAGCAAACACAGAAAATTACATTATCCTACAGATGTGGCCAATAATTTAAGAAGGTTAATCTGGTGAGAGCTTGTTGGATGGGTTGGAAGAATCAGAATCAGACCAGGAAGATTTATTTAGAGAAAATATCATTGCCTAGAAATAAAATTATAAGGCTATAAGCCAAGTTAGGTAAAATAATTAGAAAAGAAAGGAACATAAGTGGTATAATATCTCTTATCTGTACATTAAAACTTTTTACCTATTATGTAAGTGATTTCCCCAAATTCTTCCTCTCACAACAGATTAAACTGTATTACTAAGATAGCAACCCATTTTTAAAAGATCCTTTATATTTAGGTGCTCCAAATACTGCAGAATTAAGGATTTGTCGTGTAAACAAGAACTGTGGAAGTGTCAGGGGAGGAGATGAGATATTTTTACTTTGCGACAAAGTCCAGAAAGGTACTTACTCTTTTTTTCATTGAATCCAGCATGTATTTTAGATTAATAGATGTGTCTTACTTTGTTTTCTCACTGTTATTATTTCTTTGGCTTACTTACTAGATGACATAGAAGTTCGTTTTGTGTTGAATGATTGGGAAGCAAAAGGTATCTTTTCCCAAGCTGATGTGCACCGTCAAGTAGCTATCGTTTTCAAGACTCCTCCATATTGCAAAGCTATCACAGAGCCAGTAACAGTAAAAATGCAGCTGCGGAGACCTTCCGACCAGGAAGTTAGTGAATCTATGGATTTTAGGTATCTGCCAGATGAAAAAGGTATGGCACAACACTGTGTTAGTACCAATTGATACATTTCTTAAAGTTGATCCTATTAATACTCCCTAGATACATTTAAGTAGTTATGTATATTCTAAATGTATGTTTCTTTTTCTGTAAGTTTCAGGGGGTTTTGTTTTTTTGGTTTTTTTCTTTATGCTCTTTGCATCTGTTAGGAACATTTGATTCCGCTGAAATAATTTCAGAGAATCTAAAATGATCATCAAAATTTGTTTTCTTTTTGGTAGTCTTTGACCTTATTATGCCCTTTTTATAGACGGAAAACTGTTTTAGTCCTTCTTATCTTGCTTTCATTCTTATTTCATTAGTATTGACTTACAAGTGTAATAAGAAACAAGATACCTATTTTGAACTGTTTTTATTGAGAGAAAAGTACACTTTGCAACAAATCTGGGGCATGTCCTATACTAGTATACTTACTAAATTCATTATGTGTATTTTTTTTCATTATGTGTATTTTTAAAGCATTTTCTATATACAAATAAAGTACCTACTTATTAATGGAAAGGAAACATAACCCCATGATGATTCACCTACTTTCTTGGTTTCTTTTTTAATCAGATACTTATGGCAATAAATCTAAGAAACAAAAAACAACTCTACTTTTCCAGAAACTTTGGCAAGATTGTGGTAAGAATATTTTGGATTGATTCATATTAAGTAGATTTTGTTTTATTTGGTTTCTCAGATTTTAGGTGATAGATTATTCAAATTATATTTATTAATGGAAAAAATCTTTATTGTAGCAGTTAATTTTCCAGAGAGACCAAGACCTGGCCCCCCAGGATCAAATGGAGAAGGAAGACTCATCAAAAAAGGTATGTTATCCCCTGTGGACTATTCCTTGTATTCTGAAAGTCTATTGCTTTGCACAATGCATTGGATTTTTTGTGGGGGCGGTCTTTTTGAGACAGTCTTGCTATGCAGTTCAGGCTGGCCTTGAGCTCACTTTGTAGCCCAGGCTGGTCTCAAACTTGCAACAATCCTCCTGCTTCAGCCTCCCAAGGGCTGGGATTACATTACTACACCCGGCCCTAGAATTCTATATTTAAGAATAAAGAACTGCTTCCTTAATATTTTCCACTCCTACAAATTTTTTCATGCTTTTAATAAGTAAATTGAGCTTGACTTCTGGACATTGTGTTCAAAAACATGTTTGGAGAATTTACTGTTGGAGAAAGTATGTTTTACTTGTATGGTGGTAATTTCACTAATTGCATTGTGTGATGGAAGTATTGATTAGATCTGCCCAGTCACTTATCTTTATAAATAAAGTTTTATTGGAATACAACCATTTTCATCTGGTTATGTAGTGTTTCTAGATGCCCTTCTTTTTTTTTTTATTGACAGTTTTGAGAATTGAACCCAGTGAACCTCACACATTATTCAAGTGCTTTTTCTAGGGTTTTTTTTTTTTTGAGACAGTGTCTATGAAATGTAGGCTGTCCTTAAACTCACTATGTAGCCTTATTCTGGCCTCAAATTGACAGCAGTCCTCCTGTCTCAGCCTCCCAAGCACTGGAATTATAAGCCTGCACCACCATGCTGGCTAGTTCCAGCAGAAGCTATATAGCCTACAGAGTCTAATGTACTTAACTGTCTGGCCCTTTAGAGAAAAAAAATTTACCAAACCCTGGTGTAGGTCATTCCATGAAGGGTTAATTAAAAATCTTTTTTTCATGCCTGTTAAATTCTTCAGTCAGCATTTTTTCCTGCTTTAGTATATTTAGCATTTGTGTAATATGCAAATTAATACAGAATTAATTTTTCCTTATTTTCTGATTGGAGATTTTGTATCTTTGAGTCATGGTTTTAGATATCTTTAAAGTTATGTGTCTTTTTCCTTCATCCCTCATAAATTTTTCCCCCATCCTTCCATTTTCTCCAAAAAGTAAGACTGTGAAATGATTTTGGCTGTTTAATTCCTGTGAATTGAAATTCTGATATTTATCTTTCTCTTTCTTTTTTTTTTTTTTTTTGGTCTTTCTCGTTTTTATCGGTACCAGGGATCGAACTCACAACTGCCTGCTTGCAAGGCAGGCACTTATGCCACTGAGCTAAATCCCCAGCCACTATCTTTCTCTTTCTAAAAATATGTGTACAGGGCTCAAAAGCTAGATTTTCATACTTAACCGGAGTAAAATTCCATATGACTTACAAAAATCATTTTACATATATTTATAAATAGTTATGTATTACAGAGTCCTGTGATAATTTTAATGCAGTTTTTAAAATTTTATTTGCAGTAGTACATCAGTTTCTTGGAGATTTTTATTAGTGTTTTTGCAATTTTAATTTAGAAATAATGCTTTGCATAATTTTGTTCATTTTAAATTTATAAAATACATTTTTCTTCTCACAGAATCAAACTTGTTTCCTCATGCAGCAGTTATTCCAGAAATGCCCAGGCCTTCAGGGGTTTCAGGTCAAGCAGAACCCTACTATCACTCACCAGTGTCCATCTCGGGTGGATTGTCACATCACACGTCAGCCGTGCCCTCGATGGTATCGCCGCATACTTCAGGCTGGTCACCAGTGCCACAGTCCACCTCGCGTTCCGTCAGTGCAAATCCACTGACTAGTTTTTCAACAGGGACACTTCCCTCTAATTCACAGAGTATCTCACCCTTCCTGGCCATGCCTAGTGGGACTGATTTAAATGCTTCTAATGCTTGCATTTATAACAGTACTAATGACCTAGGCAGGATGGAAACCACTTCCATGTCTTCAGCTGACTTATATGGTATTTCTAATGCCACCATGATGCCTAATATGATGACAGTCAGCAGTGACAGCATGGGGGAGACAGATAACTCCAGACTTGTGAGCATGAATCTTGAAAGCCCCTCCTGTAATTCCGTGTTAAATCCAAGAGACTTAAGACAGCTCCAACAGATGCCCTCTTCCACTATGTCAGCAGGTACCAGTTCCAGTGCTACAGTTTTTGTTTCACAGTCAGATGCATTTCAGCGATCTGATTTTAGTTGTGCAGACAATGGCCTTATAAATGAGTCAGGACCATCAAATGGTACTAATCCAAACAACCATAGTTTTCAGAATAGTCAGTATTCAAGTATTGGTAATATGCAGAGTGAGCCATTGAGTGAATCTTTTACATATGATTTTTTAAAGTATAATTTGTAGAACTTAAATCTTTTAAAATGTTTGTGATCATTTTGTTAGTATCAATACAGACATAGCATCTCATATTTGTCTAACCAAAAATATAGTACAAAGCTGTCGTTGTTTTTGAAATTTCTTTTCTCAGAGAATTACAAAACTTTAGATGTATATAGAATACAAGCATTGGATGTATATAGAAACCAAATCTTGGAAGGGGTTATGAAAAGAAAATTCGGGCTAAAAATGGTGGTGCACACCTTTTACCTTAGCACTCGAGGCTGAGGGAGGAAAGGGTTATGGGTTCAAGACACAAAACACAGAACAAAACCAAAAAAGAAAGAAAAATGTTCTTTTTTCTTTTTCTTTCTTCTTTTGAAAGGGCTGACCTGATAGTATGTGTGTGTGAATTCTGTTTTCAGGATTGTACTGCATTTCCCCAGGAAAGATTCTAAGGAGATCATTAAACCATGCAGTATACTTTCTAATTTTATATTTCTTTTATAACACTGTATTGTTAAATGAATTAACTGATGTTTGCTTTCATGCAAATTTAAGGAAAAACTTATAATGGCTATGCCATTGGAAAAATGTTCCTTTTTTTTTTTTTTTTTTTTGAGGCCTGTGACCCCTACGGGGTTTTCTGAGGCTTCTTGGAATTTCTTAGATTTATATGTAAATCAAAACTTTTTTAAAATATTAAGTTGTGCAGAAGGCAGTTGAAGTGAATTTTCAAGGTATGGGAGGATTCCTCCACTTTATACTGTTTAAATCTGTATCTTTAAAGTTGCTTATGATTTTAGCTTTGCACCCATATTTTCAAGAGGAAGAAGCTGCTTTGTACCTGTTTTTTTCCTTATGTATTCTCACTCCCTGTGGTCTCATACAACTGCCTGTTTGACACCTAGAAATCTAATGAAAGCTCAAATGAGTATATCCAAACCTATGTTCTTAGTCTTTCCTCCCAAACTTGCTTCTCCTTCAGTCTTCTCCAACTCAGTAAATGGCAATGCCATACTTCTAATTTCTCAGGCCAAAAATCTTGGCATCATCCTTGATTCTTTTATCTCCTATATGCAACTTGATGGAAAGAATCTAATTTAGGGGAAAAGTTTACCACTTTTATACCCTTGAGCCTGGAATAGGTAGGGTCTTGCTAATTCCTGACATACCCTCAAGGCATATTTCTTGTCCCAGTTCAATGTCTGTGATTTCTTTTTAATTATGCTAATCTCCTCAGGAACCGTACCTCCTGTGGCCCCAACTTTATGCATGGTTCTTTTCAGACCAAAGCTTTTCAGATACTTCAGCTCTGCTTTTTGGTTCTAGTTTTCACTTACAGATCTAGCAATGAGTAGTCAGCAGTGTTAATACTTCTGTCTAAACATTGGGCTGCCTTGAAATTTCCCCGTCAGATAAACAAGTTTACCATCCTCCAACTCGGCCTCCTTAGGATGTAAACAAACTGTAGGCTTTTTTCTTCTTTTTTTTTTGCTAGAGTATAATGTGTATGACCTTTAGTTTAGTTTTCCAAGAGTCTCTTGTTCCTGTCTGAAACCTCATGAGCACAGCCTTAACTGTCTACATTCCTGTTAGCTTCTTTAATTTACATTCTCATATCTTTCCTCTCATATCTTTCCAAATTCATCCACAATTCAAAAGGCTTCTGAATATAATACAGCAACAACCTTATATCTGAATTACTAATATTCTGTATTAGTCACTTCCCTATTGCTGGGCAAAATACCTGACATCCACAATTTTAAGAAGAGAGGTTTTCTTGGGGGCTGGGGATTTAGCTCAGCGGCATAAGCGCCTGCCTTGCAAGTGTGTGATTGTAAGTTCAATCCCTGGTATCGATAAAAATGAAAAAGACAAAAAAATTAAAAAAAAAAAAAAAAAAAAAGAAGAGAGGTTTCCTTGGCTCACGGTTTCAGAAGATTCAGCTCATCAGCTGGCTCCAAGATGGGAACATCATGGCAGATGGGCATAATCAGGCCACTGGAAAGCAAAGCACCAGGGAAAAATACCAATGGCAAAGGAGCCAGGGACCAAATACAGTCTTCAGAGTCAGGTTTCCCTCATCTCCCCACACATTAGAAATCTCATCCGTGACTCCCAAGCCAGTCAAGTTGACAAGCTTAACTGTCACACTTATCAAGGCCTACCTTGACCAAATTTCACCTTCCTGTTCTTCCTGCATCCCATATGTATATAGCACTTATCATGATCTGATCTGACTGGGAATTTATTTATTAATGTGTATCCTTTACTGAAATACAAGCTCCATGAGCGCAGAAATGCTTGTGTCTCACTTATTATCAGATCTCCGGTTTGTAGAACAGTGACTGTCTCATGTTAAGCCCTCCATAAATATTTACCAAACATTCAAATTTCTACCAGTAGAACAGTAAATATTAAACATGTACAGTATCACCAGCAGAACTCTGTTTTTTGAAAGAATAGCTTTATTAGATACTTAAGGTTTTGATATTTTGTTTGACATTAGATTTTTGATAGAATCATATAAATTCAAGTCTAGTACTAATAATGGTAGTCCAGATTGTTTGAAAGCAAGGTAACTGGGAAGATGATAATAGAATTTAAGCAGTAGTTTAATTGTGAATGGATGATGATGCTAAGTAAGTAACATATTAAAGATCTAATTTATCTTACAACTAGAATTTACTCTAGATATTGGACATTCATTTCCTCAACTAGAAATATGAACATGTCCTTAGCTAGAAATAGTGTATCATTTCACTTATGTAGGGCCCACTCAAACTAATAGCCTAACATAGATGTTAAACGTATTCTTGACTGGAAACAAATTCCTGACCAATGAGTCATTTTACTTATACAGAACCCACCCAAATCATTAATTTAAACATATTACTCAGTAAAAATAGGGTACGTGTAAATTTCCAGTTGAATGATAATAGGAAATAGGAAAGAGAACAAGAAAAGGTTAGGGTTTTGAGGTTAGGGTAGTCCAGAAAACAAAAGAAAAATATTAAAATCCACTATTAGGATACTTTTCAAATTATGATTTCACAAATAAACAGTTGTCATATAAAATTGAAAAGTCACAAGTACATTAATGTAGTTTTAGTAGAATTTACCAGGGAAGGAAAAAAAACCAGGGTAAATTTCTTTCCTGTTTAGAATATGAACTCAGGATATCTCCAGATAGTGATTGGTAGGGGGCATGTTACTTTAAAAATACATAATCTTAGAACTTCACATGAAACCAGGTGTGTTGGCAATGCCTATAATCTTTGCACTCAGGAGGCTGAGGCAGGAGGATCACTGAATTCAAGGCCAGCCTGATATGCATAGCGTAACCTTGTCTCAAAAAGACAAAAAAAATTTTTATATGAATTAGCACTGATCAGTTTAAAGCTATTAGAGTAGCTCAGTGGATTTTTAAGTCAGCATTGACTTGTTTTGTGTTTTTTTACTCCGCCAGATGAATTAAGAGCCTGCTATGTCTTGTATTTATAGTATTTCCAACAGATTCTTAATTTTCAGGTGCTATTTATTGAACATAGAGTTTATTTTCGAAAGTGAGTTTGGCTGGGTATTTCTCCCTTTACTTTCATCTTAGTTTTGAGGACATGATGTCCTTCCTTTCTAAACTCCATGGTATAATAGAGCCCTGCTTGATTTCCCATCCTGTTTTTCTCTGAATTCACTTTGAGCCCAGGCTGGCCTCTTCTCCAGCCTGAAAAAGAAAAGATCAACAACAAAACAAAAACCAAACAGTAACAAAAAATTGTACCACTCTTGCACTGCTTCCCTTCCCATCCTGACTTCTAAAGGGCTGCAACCTTGATTTCCTCCCCTCTCGGCTTTTCATCAGCTGCTGATCACTGCATCAGCTCCTGCTTCTTTCTTATGATACTTGGATCTGTGAGCAGACACAGACACACACATCAAATCTGTCTTGTATCTACTGTTCCTGTGTCCTGCGCACAACTTTCTGCCTGTTCATCTCTCCAGCGTTCCTGAATAAGGTGCCTCTCTGAGCCCTCTAGAACCCCACACAGCCTTCAGTTGGTGCTTTTTTCTTTCTTTCGTTAAATGTTTTATTTTATTGGTACATTTTAGATATACATAATGAAAACATTCAGTGTAGGGAGTGGTGCCTGTATTTTCTCCCATGCAATCTCAGCAGTGTCCACAGCTTCAGCCTTCTCTCATGCTGTCTGTATACCCACAGAGATTGGCTTTTCCTGTTGCATTCTTTACTTTGCTTTATCATTTATTCTTTCGTTAATGACATTATCATTTACCACCGAGATATTTAATAGACATCTCAAAATCGTATTTTAGTGGACCAGCAGTGTAGCTCAGCGACACTGCGCCTGCCTGGCAAGTGTGAGGTCCTAAGTTTCATTCCTGGTACCAAAAACAAAAAGGAATTACAAACAAAATCATATTTTATTCTTTTATCTTCTTTGCACTCATGTATAGTCCTTTTAAATCCGCCTCCTAAAAATCGTGGGTATCTGTCCTTTCTTCATTCCTGCTGCTTTCTTACTAAAAGCCTTTATTTCCCCCAAGCAGGATCTTCTATGTTCCATTTAAAAATACCTCCTTCCCCAAGCTAGTTGTGGTGGCCCATTCCTATAACTCAGGCACCCTGGAAGGCTGAAGCAGGAGGATTGTAAATTCAGACTTGGGCAATGTAGTGACTTGACAAGACCCTGTTTGGTAAGTAATAAACAGATGGGGGATGTAGTGCAATACGAAGGTCCCGGTTCAATTCCCCAGTCTCTCCCTCCGCTTCCCCACCCCATATACGCACACACACAAGACAGACCCTAAGCCCAGGGAGGTGAGGGAGCAAGCATGGAAGGGGCACAAAGAGTGAGAACGGACACTTACCTGCACCGCCTTTCTATGGCGGAAGTATTTTGGATTGCAAACATATAGTAATAAAAAATTTATTTAAAAACAAATTCTTCTTATACCTCCCTATTATAATTTCCCTTGGAAAATAACATTTTATGTCAGACCTCTGCATCTTAACATGTTGCTTTGTATGTGCTTTTCTGGAGCTAGAACACTCATTCTTTCATTTTCAACTTCATTTAACAATTTATCCAACAAGACTGATTGAATGTGTGCTGGATGCTAGGCTTAGTTCTGAGTACCAGGGACACAGTGGTACACAGGATTGCCTCCTGAAGCTTCCATCCGAGGTAAATGTTCTGTTTTTGGAAGCTATTTAGGCCAGCTCAGTAACTTTTTGAATGATAAAATTGTTGTTTACTTTTGCTAATTCATGGTGATCTAAGCCAAGTGACTACAGAGCATTTGAAATATCTGTAGTTTATGAAAAAAATAGTTTTAATTACAGCCACATATGCTACCGGCTACCAAATGGATAGCAGGAGTCCATGCGTGTATAACACTATTTAAAGCCAGGCTTCTAACAGGCGAGGTGGTGCACACCTGTAATCCCAGCACTCAGGAGGCTGAGGTAGGAGGATTACTCCAAGTCTGAGGCCATGCTGGACTACATAGTCAATTTAAGGCCTGCCTGGACAACACAGGGGGACCCTGCTTCAGAAAACAAAAAAAAGACCAGACTTTTCCAAGAGGCTTAGTCGTGTACTCCTAGTTGAGGTACAGTTGTGCATGTACCCATTAAGTATTGTCTCAATCATCTCTGGGACTTCAGGACTCGGCACAGCCGGGCACCTACTATTAGAAGAGGAAGGGTGACATGGGCACACAGGAGTGATGACAGCTTTGTGGGCAAGGACATGGTGTTTTGGTTTTTGGTTTTGTTATTTTTTTTTAATTTTAAAGAGAAAATAAAATTTCAAAAGATAATAGAGTAACAATGGTTAATACATTACATAGTCTCCTTTAAATTACTTAGAATACAAGGTATAGGCATCTAATATCCAAACAATATTAGCACAAACCTGCCTTTTCAATGAACTAAGAGAAATCAGTAGTCTATCGCCTTACATTTGCTTCCCCTTCCTTTTCTCCTTTCCCCATCCCAGTTTCTCTTTCTTTTGGAGCAGTTTCCTCCCCTTTCACATATCTGTGGTACATTTTAGATCTTATTTACTCTTTCAGCTTCTCACACTGACAATATGATGTTTACACATAAGGATATGACTTCTAAAAGAAAAGGTACTTGATCTTGCGGGAAAAGCTGCGATGCCAAGATTCTGTGTCTTAGGAAATACACTTCTCCACTTGCTACCCTCATTTTCCTTTTAAAAACCGTCCCGCAGCGCAGCCCATTAAGATTAAAAGTAGCTCTGTTGAACAGTAGGGCCATATGCTTTAGGTTTAAAATGTAGATGAAAGGATTATTTGAGGTCTGTGACCTCGCTAGAGCTCTCTTCCTTACATGTAGCGGTCTAATCTCGTGTCCCTCATGCACTTCCTTGATCCCTTATCCCTGTGCGGATGCTCTAGTATTTGTGTAAGTCAGATAGCTTATTTTTTAATGTCTAATGTGCAAAGCAGGAAGTGATACAAATGAATGAGATTAAACTCTTGTTCTCAAAGTCTCTTTTGAGGGATTTCACAGGCATAAAGTAGACCAATTGTAAGTGTAGAGCTTGAAGAATTTTTATGTATGTAGGCATGCATGTAATAATATCCTATACATCTCTCTCTGACCATTGCCCAATCTGCACCTCTAAATCACTGTTCTGATTTCTATCATCAGAACCTGTTTTCTGACAATGGCCTTTTAAATTGGTAACTGAGCCTGTTTCCTCATATTTATGTGGAGGAATTGTTTTATTTTTAACATACTCCTTCAGGAAAACTATGTTGTTTATGTTGAAAGAGGCTTAGAATTGCTAATCTAGGTTGTCTATAACATCATATAATTTTTTATCATAAATTGATTTATTGAAAGATTATCACATGCTGTGAAACAGCATTGGAGAAACAAAGAATGGGAACTATTTTTAGTTGGATAATATCCACCCGTCCTACCTCATAATATGTTTTGTACTCAATCATGTCTAAGAAGAAACACTGTAAATTGCATAGTTTTCAATATAACTAATACACCAACATCTGTTGGTGCCACTTCACTCTGATCGCTGAATCAAACACGCCTGGATATGTAGGACCTAGTAGAGGAAGACCGCTGGGCATTGAGTGCTTCGTAGTGAGAGCCCTGAAGTGAGTTTCTCTTTCGAGTGACCAGCTGTTGCCTAGATCTGGAGAACCTTCTCTTGGCCTTATTCTTTGCAGACTGATTTCCTATTGAAGATAATGCCAATTACTGAATTTGTTTTTGAAGTTCTGTGACTTAATCTTTTGCCAGAGTTGATTATGAATTGGGAGAACTTTGATTCAAATGAAGTTTCTACTGAAAGGTTTCTGAATTTTTTTCTGAGGTTGGATATGAAAGGAGGCAATCATTTTTTCCTATCACATGTATAGAACATTTCATGCTACTTATCCCTATAAGCCAGGAATTGGTAATCAGATACAAATTATGGTTTGCTTGTGTCTTTTCAGACTCACTCAGATGAGTATTTTAACTACTATAGAATTTAAAGCACATGCTTAACACTGTAAAAGATCAAATCTCAGAAATAATAATATCTGTAAATGTTTTCATGCTTGCTAAAAACTACACAAATTCTCTTTTAACAAACAAAATAGAACTGTATTTTTTTCTAAAGTAACCACTCCATTTAGTTTGATTGTTATGCTGTATACCGGTAGACCCAGCACTCTGGTAAGCTGAGGGAAGAAAATAGCAACTTAGCAAAAGTCTGTCTCAAAATAAAAATAAATAAAGAGGGCACAGTTGTGGCTTAGTGCACAGGGCTTGTTCAGTCTCCAGGATTGGAAAAAAAATAAAAATACTGTTGGCTGCAACAAATACAGATTCTGATCGAATAGAAAGTCTTATTTTTTGCTTCCTAATATGCCTATTATGCTTCCTAATAACTGGAATTTGGAGGTAATGAATTGATTTTTAAAAGTTCTCAAACATTGTTAAATTATTTACAGTTAAGTGTATCAATATGCAATAGTTCTTAAGATGTTTAAATGCCTTTTATTGTACAGAATGTTTTATTACCTTTGTAATATCTTTATATACAATTTTTTCTTGGTAATGTAAAAAATTTTAAAACACGCTATATTTTGTTACAATTTGACTTAAAATATTAACTTGATTTTCTTAATATTTGTTGTATTTTTCTTAAAACAAAAGGTAGTTTTGGTTTCTAAGACATTAGACATGTTTATGCAATGCTATTGCTGGATATTCTTGCATCATGACTCTTGGAAATGAGTATTTTCAGAGTATTGAAATACCCTTTTGAAAGATTTTCTCTTTCCTGTCTCTTTCTTTCTAAACAACTTAAACATATTTTCAGAGTCCTGGACGTGTAAATCCCAGGGTACTGGTGTGAATGGGTGAGGGCTGTCTTCAGAACTTGCAGATGGCTGGCGTCTGTGCCCACACAGTGGGAGAGGAGGAGAAAAGGATGGAGAAGGAGAAGGGAGGGGTTGCAATCAAGTTCCTTCTTTCACTTAAAATAAATACATATATTTTGTGACTTGAAATTATATAGCATATACATGACATTATATAGCATACACGTGATATGAAATTATATTTTATATATATACATAATTATACAGAATGATATGTATATTATGTAATTATATGTATAATAAACATGTGACATAATTATGTGTGGCATGAAATTATATGTGTGTGACATACATGTATATAAGTGACATGAAATTTGTGTCCTTTGAGCAACATTTCCCCACCTCTGCTAATCACTGTTCCCATACACCTCAGATGGCCACCATCCCACTATTTCTGATTGCAACTTCAGATTCTAAGCGTCAGTGAGAATATGCGGTACTTGTCTTTCTGTGCCTGAGCTATTCATTTAATGTTCTCTAGGTTCATCCATGTTGTTATACAAGACAGTTTCCCTCTTTGTGGCTGAATACTACTCCATTTATATATGTGTACCACATTTTCTTTATCCGTTTGTCCACTGATAAACACTTAGGTTGATTCCTTCTCTTGGCTACTGACAGTACTATAATGAATATGGCAGTGCACATGCTTCAGTTACTAATTTAATTTCCTTGGGATATATACCCAGTAATGGGATTGCTGGATCATGTGGTAGTTCTCAGCACTGGGGACCGAACCCTTTGTACTGAGCTACACTTCAACCCTTTATATTTTTGTGACATAAGAGTCTAGTAAATCACTGAGTTGCCAAGGCCAGGCTCAAATTCACAGTCCTCCTGCTTATGCTTCCCAGACAGCTGGGGTACCGGGTGTGCACTATATCAGGCTTGATTTTTAAATTTTTGAGGGAACTCCATGGCTGTACTATCATAATGGCTGTACTAATTTATATTCTCACCAATAGTGTAGGAAGCTTCCCTTTATATAACATCCTTGCCAACACCTCTTTTTGAGGATAGCCACTGTAACAGGTACAGGATGATATTTTGTGATTTTAATGTGCATTTCCTTGATGCTTAGTGATGTTGAGTATTTTTTCACAAACTTGTTGGTCATTTGTGCTTTTAAAAAATGCCTGTATCCTTTGTCCATTTTTTAATTAGATCTTTTGTTTCCTTGCTATTGAGTTCCTACTGTATTTTGGATATTAGTCCCCTATCATATGTATGGCTTGCAAAATATTTTCTCCCATTTGTAGGTTATCTCTTTTCTTTGCTCTAGAAAAACTTTTTGGCTGAATTTTTTTTCTTCTGTGCTTTGGCTGTAATATAAAAAAAACATTTTGCCCAAATCAACGCCATCGTACTTTTCCTGCTTTGGTCTAGTTTTACAGTCCCAGGTCTTAAATTTAAGTCATTTTGAGTTGATTTTTGTATATGAGTATGAAATAAAGATCTAATTTCATTATTCTACCTATATACCCATTTTTCTGCACACTATTTAATGAAGAGAGTGTTTTTGTATTCTCAGAATACAGATTTGATTTTCGTCAAAAATCAACTGGCTAGGGCTGGGGAATTAGCTCACTGTCATAAGCACCTGCCTTGCAAGCACACAGTCATGAGTTCAATCCCTAGTACAAAAAAAAAAATCAACTGGCTGTAAATGCATAGACTTATATCTGGGTTTTACTCTGTTTCTTTGGCCTGTGTTTGTTCCTATGTAAGTACCATACTATTTTGACTATTACAACCTCATAGTATATTTTGAAATCAGATACTATAATGTCTCTTAATTTTATTCTTTTTGCTCAAGATCGTTCTATCTAGTGTCTAAACTGTAGCCTTTGTTTTCTGCTAAATATGTACTTGGAATTTTGAAAAGGATTTTACTGAATCTGACTGCTTTTGGTAGCATGGACATTTTAATAATTCTTCAATTTATGAATACAAAATAATACCCCATTATTTCTTCAGTGTGTTAATTTCATATCCTGGGATGGGGACTTAGCTTAGTGGCTGAAGTGTCTACCTGGTAGGCATGAGGTCATGAGTTTGATTCTTAGTACAAAAAAATTTTTTTTTGCATCCTGCCACTTTACTGAATTCATTTATTAGTTCTAACAAGGTTTTTAAATAGGTTCTTTAGGCTTTTCTAGATATAACTCATGTCTATAAACAGGGACAGTCTAACTTCTTTCCAATCTAAATGCCTAGACAGTTGCTCTAGGTAGGACTTCGATACTAGTTTGAGTAGAAGTATAAAAGTAGGCATTCTTTCTTGTTCCTGACAGTAAATGAAAAGCTGTTTTACTCATTGAGTATGCATGATACTAGCTATGGGTTAGATTTGCTATGGTCTTTATTAGGTTGTTACATTCCTTCCATACCTAATTTGAGTTTGTTTTTGGCCATGAAAGGATGGTCAATTTTGTAAGATGCTTTTCCTGTATCAAGATGTTCATGTGGTTTTTGGCCCTTCATTCTTTATGTGGTGAATCATCTTTATAGATTTCTGGTGGTGAACCACCCTTGCATTGTTGGGCTAAATCCTCTACTGGGTTACGATGAATAATCTTTTTAACGTGCCATTAACTTTGGTTGTTAGCATTTTGTTGAGAAGAGATACTGACCCAGAGTTTTTGTTTAGTTGTTTTTGTAGTGTCCCTGTCTAGCTTTTGTGTTAGGGTGATGCTGCCCTTGTCAGAGGAGTATGGAAGTATTCGCTCTTTAATTTCTTTGGAAGACTTTGAGAAACATTGGTTATTAATTCATTTAAGTGTTGGGTATCATTCAGCAGTGATGCTTCTAGGTCCTGGGCTTTTCTTTGATGCAAGGCTTTTTATTATTCTTTAAATTTCTTTATTTATTGTTCGTCCATGCAATTTTTTCATTATTTAATCTTGGTAGGTTATTATGTATCATGGAGTATATACATTTCTTCTAGTTATCTGCTTTATTGGCATATAACTGTTCATAATAATCTCACGTTTTTGGTATTTCTGTTTATAAAATTTTATTTTTTTCCTTTCTGACTTATTTCTTGTCTTTCTCCCTTCCTTCCTGAGTAATTGAAAACCAAAGCTCTTTATTTCTGTGCAAAGCACAGCAGTGCTGGTGGCCACTGTGGGGTTACAGAGTGGAGCCTGAGGAGGACACCTGGAGGTAATGGGCCCTGAGGGTCTCGGGGATCTGCAGCAATGAGGTAGCAGTAGGAGCCTGAGTACGTGTAAGAGGAGCTGACACAGGATTTTGTTATATAGGCTAATGGGAGCCAGATTGTACTGTCAGAGAACAGGATTAGGAAGATTGGAAGGCAGAAAGCCAGAGGAAGGTGACATGGGAAGTACAGCCATTAGCTCATACTTTCCACACATGGAGATGCAGACTGAGTGTACATCTGTATGTATGTGTGCACACATGTGTGCATATTCACAGTGCGTCCCTGGTGCTTTTTTGTGAGGGGGCTTGGAATGACAGTAGCATAACAGCAATGGGCTACAGGTTGAAAGGCTACTCATCACCTAATCAGTACTCAGAAATCCAAATAAATAATAACAAATCATAACCCACTAAATAAATTAGAAGCAGTGAGCTAAGGAGGTAGCTCAGTGGTACAATGCCTGCTTAGTATGTATGAGGTTCTAGGTTTAAACCCCCGAAAGGAAACCACAAGCCCACAGTAATATAAATAAATGAGATAAAGTCTCACTTTTCAGTGGAATGCCCACCAACAAATGTTTAAAAATAATGGAATTTTGGCCAGAGATTTAGCTCAGCGGCATACGCGTCTGCCTGCGAGGTCTTGAGCTCAATCCCTGTTACCAAAAAAAAAAAAAAGATGGAATTTTCAAAAATATTTGGCGATCATTATGGTAAAAATAAATTCTGGTGGAAAAATCCTAAATAGATGCTATAAGTGAGTGGCATCTATTTAAAATGAGTGAAAATTTGGATATCTCTTCCAGATACATTAATTATAAAGAAAAAAGGGTAACTACAAAGTGAAGCAGTTTAGTAAATAATACCTTAATCAAGTGATTAAAGCCCAACTGAACAAATTAGCATTATATGACTAAGATGCAAGGACATAAAATCTATTCTGTGGTATTCTTCCCCAAAAGGTACAATGTAAATTTAATAACAGACATCAAGCAAACTGAAAATGAGGAAGTAACCCCACAATAACTGGCTTGAAACCTTTAAAAATGGTAAAGTAACAGATGTTAAGGAAATACTAATTTTCAGATTGGTGGAGACAGAAAAGACATAACCACTAAACAAAGTGTGATCACCTGACTGTCAAGAACACTGTTGTGACAAATGGCGCCCCGAATGGTCCCGCAGGCAATGGTAATGCATCGTGTCAGCTTCCTAATTATGCTCATTGTGGTTACATAGAAGGACGTCCAGGAATCACACACTGATGTGTGTGATTTGAGATGATGGTTCTGTGGTTCAGGGAAGAAGTCTTTTGTACTTTCCTCGCCACTTTCTTGTAAATTTGGAATTACTTGTATTTTGCTTTGTTTTCATCTTTCTGAGACAGGGTTTCACTCTGCAGTTCAGGCTACCTTGTAGTCTTCATAGCCCAGCTGGTCTCACACTTGCAGGGCTCCTTCTCCCTCAGCCTCCTAAGTGCTCGGATCACAGGTGTGTATCACCAGGCATGGCTGGAATTATTTCAGAATGATACTTTTCATAATAAAAAAAAGAAGCCAGGCACGGTAGCACACACCTGTAATCCAGTCCTGGGGAGGCTGAGGCAGGAAGATCGTTGCAAGTTCGAGACCAGCCTGGGCTACAAAGTGAGCTCAAGGCAGCCTGACCTGCATAGTGAGACCCTGTCTCAAAAAAAAAAAAGTTTTCTAACTAACTTTGCTGAGGAGCTTCCTGATTCTTCCATATTGCAGATCCGTGGCATTCAGCCTGGACTTACCCTAAATTACTTAAATCTTTTTTTGTAGCAGAATTTTCCCAGAAACTGAGAAACATCCACACAGAAGTTCTTATGTTTTTACTGAAATTTATTTGTTACCTCTTTCTCATTTTCTGGCATTGAAAATAGCAAAAAAAAAAAAATTGATTATTATTATTATTCACATCTGATAAACACAGTGTCAAGGTAGTAGGATTTTTTTTCATGTCAGTGGAAATCATTTTTCCTGCTCTCTACAGTGACTCTTTGTATCAGTGAACTATGTTTAATATAGAGATGAGACTGAGAAATGTAATACAAAGTCATATGTGTCCTTAAAAAAGCTCATATAGTTGAATCATGTGATGGAAATTATATTTAAATATGAATTTTTTTCAGACAGGGTCTCTCTATATACTTCAGACTACCTTTGAACTCACTATGTAGCCCAGGCTGGCAATCTTCCTGCCTCAGCCTCCCAAGCACTGGGATTACAGACGTATGCCACCATGCCTGATCTGTTTCAGATTCTTAACCTGTTGAAGGCACTTGTATTTCCTTATTTAAAATATTTATGTAAGTCTCTTACCATAATATGCATTTCTAAAGTTTCCCACCATAAGATACATGTACTGGTAATTTTAGACTATCAAAAATAGTAACTTGAAGTCATTATGATTTATGATAAATAACAGCCCCAAGTACTTTCACTGGTAATAGTTTACTTGATACTTACCAGGGAAAATATTGAGGTCAGATTTGCATTTGATATTGTTAAGCTCTGATAGGATATTCAGAATATTACAGTTATAACTTTTATTCAAATAATTTTTAAAATTTGGCATATGAATTTAAAGGTAGTATGTCTCCTGTGAAATCATGCTGAAACTTAACAAAAAAGTTTCATGTTTGTGTACCTCTCTATAAAAAAATTAAGGAGGAGGATGGTTTTGTTATTCATAGTGGTTGTTTGTGGAGGGAAAGTGGGAATGAGGAAAGTCACAGACACCTTTGGAATGCACACATACATACAGATAGGTCCTGAGATCTTACAACAAAGTTTAAAAAGAGATCAACATGATCCAGATGGTTTTCAAGACACCGCTATGGTAGAAAAGAGCTGTTAGACAGGTGTGGGGCACGATGTCCACAGCATGCTAGGAAAACCCACTGCATCCCGAGTCCAGGGCTACTCATCCAGAGCAGGGGGCCAGTCAACATCGACAGACTGGAAAGGAGAACACAAGTCATTCAAACAAACTACTATTCTGGTAAGCATCTGCTAATAATCATTTCCAATGCATCAGAAGACATTACATTTGAAAAAAGAGCTATTGATTAACACAATTTAATAAAAATTTAATAAAATTTAATAAAAATTTAAAGTCCATTCTAGGTATTCTTGGGCCCCAAGTCTATCTTTGAGTTAACTGGGCAGCAATGTTGGGTGACCATTATTGAGTAATCTGCTTAATTGTACCTTTGACTCAGCATAAGTGAACTTAGATTTTGAAAATTTTATTTATGGGTAAAATAGCAAACATTCAGATTCAGGCAGCTATACCAGTTTTCCCTTAGAAGTTTCAGCAACTTTTATTCTTCTGATCATTTTCATAGCAGCACCTTACATTTAACATAATCAGATGTCACTTACCAGCTGAGACACAATCTTAGGAAGGCATCGCTAGGTAATTTCACCATTGTGCAAACACCACGGAGCATACAGACTCACACCAAGACACTATCATGATATATGAGTCCCTTATAAATCCACATACTAGGTCCCCTTTGAACCACATACTAGGGAGCTCAGAGCAACACTTTTATCAATACCATTAGCTCATTCCATTTTCTACCCTTGTCCTGAAATATGTTTCCAAGCAGATCTGGAGACGAGCCCCCTAGCATCTCAAAGTACATGTGAAGGAACTCACAATTTTATTTCCTTGTTTGCTTTAAGAGTTTAACCTGATGTCGCATGTAAAGCACAGCTAGTAAAGTAGCTCTATATATTCACAGGAACCATAAATGAGATCTTTATTTACTTTTTTTTTTTTTTTGCCTTTTTCTTTTTTATCGGTACTGGGGATCAAACTCACGACTGTCTGCTTGCAAGGCAGGCGCTTATGCCGCTGAGCTAAATCCCCACCCCCTATAAATGAGATCTTGTACATATTAAAAACCAATATTCAGACGATGCTCCCTGTCTGTCATACAATGCTACTCTGAGATTTTAACCATTTTTGAATATGTACCTGTAAAGGTGGGTGGTGCTATTTGGTATAATGCCAAAGGGCATAACTGTGACTGAATTCAATTTGCAAATGTGCATTCCACAGTAAAATGATTTACCTCCACATCGAGCTCAAGAATGTCTGCAGTCACATTCATCAGAGAGCCAATGTTTGGCTTGGTTCTCCCGAAGTCTCCATGTACAAACTCTTTAATGTAGCTGGAGTCTGTTTAAGGAATAAAGGGGGAAAGGGTACCCATGCAATACTGATCACTGAGCTTTGACAGGTAAAAAGGAAATCATAAAAAAAAAGCAGAAATGATAAAAAGGAGAGGTTATTTCTGAATTCTGACTTGAGATGTATGTCCGAGAAAATGACTTGTGACAAACTGGTTCCTACCAGCCCGGCAGAGCCAGCTGAGCGGTGTCTCAGGTCATGAACTTAATTCTTTCCGTGATTCTGGTCCCAGAGTTTGTTCCAGGATTCTGGCTACAAGTGAGCAATTTGGAAAGAATTAAGTTTGTGAACAAAGGTACCACTGTATAAATTTGTGTTTACATCAAGCTTACCCAATGTTGTTCGCTTTTTTCTCTGTCTGTCTGCCTGTCCGTCTGTCTTCTGACAAGGTTTCACTCTGTAATTCAGGCTGGCCTTGAACTCACAGAAATCCTCCTGTCCCAGCTCCCAAATGCTAGGATTACAGGTATGCACGACCATGCCACGCCTGAGTTTTTTGTTTGTTTGTTTGTTTAAGGAGTGACTTTGTTTCTTTCAGAGCTCTTTAAATTTTGAAGATACTGACTAACTCTGGAGTTGTTGGTTATAGATTTCATTAACTTTCCATACATGGGACTATTTTGTAGCCATGAAAGTATTTCCCTGAAAGATACATCCTTTTGTTAACATTCAGGAAAAACCTAGTACTACACTGCGTTAAAAGCCAGCATTTAGTATAAAATATTTAATAGACTCTGAATAGGAAAGATCAAATTAGATAACTGAAGGCAGGACTCTACATGCTGCTATGACAGTCCCACCTTCTCAGTGTATTCACTCTACCTTCAAGAAGGGTTTTGATTCAAGCATAATAACTAAGGTGAAGACTCCAGGACCTCCCTGATACATTTCAGTCAGACTCAGTTCTGGGATAAAGCCACACCAGTCAACTTGGGGCTCTGGACATTTAAACTCCACACAGCAACCTTTTTCTGTGTATAACACTATTACACAGGTCTCTTTGTATTCTTTGAAAACGGTACAAACGGTAGTACTAGTGCCAAACAAGTTTATGTGACTTCAATAAATGATATACAATCTGAAGTGCCTTGTTTTGTTTTTGTTTCTTCACAAGGCACATAAAGAAAGAATAGCAGTATGCAAAGTAGCACTAGCTATGGTGGCATGATCTGTGGTCCCAGCACCTGGGAGGCTGAGTCAGGAAGATCACTAGGATCCAGGAGTTCACAGTCATTCCAGACAACATAGAAAGAAGCTGTCTCAAAAATACATATATATATTTATGTATTTTAAATTGAAATTCCTTTCTATAACTGTGTTTAATCTGGGGCAAATGCTTGAAATGCTAAAAGGACCTAAATATGTTCATGAATGAATATGTAACTTATAATATGTTTGAAGACAGCAAATTAATCAAAAGTATTTCCTGAGGTGTTTTTATTTTTGTTTTCTTGGTACCAAGAATCGAACTTAGGATCTTGTGCTTGCCAGGCAGGCACTTGTGCTGCTGAGCTAAATCTCCGGCATTTTCTAAATATTTATCATGTGCTAAATAATGTGTAAGAATCTAACTGAAATGTAAATAACTTTAAAATTGACACTGAACTGACTGCTCCCTCATAGTTTAAAAGTCATTTTGAAAAACACAAATTTACTTTTTTATTTACTTTTTTCACTATGAAGTTTAGGTTGGTTTTGAACTCATTATGTAGCCCCAACTAGTAGTGAATTTACAGCAATCCTCGGCCTCAGCCTCTTGCATACTGGGATTACTGGTGTGCACTACCACACCCCGCCAAAAACCACACATTTAATGGGAAAAGATATTTTAAAGAAAGAATGGGTTCCTGTCTGATACAGTCCTTGCCCTGCGATCTCCCAGACCAAGCTGAACCTGTTTTCAAGAACAGCATGAACTCTGCCCGCGCGCGCAGTTCTGGTCAGATCACTGCAGTGCAGTGGGAAGGATACGTGCCAGCTTGGGTCTTCAGACACAGGCGAAAATGGTGCTCATCCACGAAGTGCGTCTCCATGGCGTGGATGACTCGTGTTCTCACAGCCAGAGGCCTTCGGTGAAGCACGCGCAGAGGTGTTTTCTGGTCAATCTTCAGGTCCTGGAGGAGGATGTGACACAGTCACGGCCCGCCTCCCAGGGAAGTCCGGCTCTGCTCGCCAGGAGCTCACTGCAATGTTTCCCGGGCAAACTCCACCTCCTGCAGTCATGACAGGGTCTAACTAATCCCGAATAAACTGTTCTGCCTTAGCTTCAGTTTGGAGGGCTACTCATAAACTAGTTCACAATTGCTCATTTTCTGGGCCCTACCACTCAGAAAGAGGGAGCTTGGAAGTAAATGATCCTTAAGGGCTCGCCTGCTCAAATATTTAACAAATTGATAGGACCCTGGAGTTCCATCGGCACATCACCTCACAGGGTGCTTCTGGAGGGCCGGCTCTCATCTCTGTCTGTCTGTGACCCTCTAACTGGATGTCAGGCTGGGGTGAAAAATAGCTGGTTGCAGAAAGCGGATGATGATACACAGGCAGTGTACACATTTGGGGAAAACCATGTATTTTCAGGGTGGTGGTGGTTAGAGAAAAGGATTTATCTGGAAAAGCTACACTATTGGTTAGTATAACATTTTAATGTAGCAGTTACAAGCAAGTGTGCACAATAAACCAAGGTCTCTCAATATTAGTTAATCCAGCTTGAGAAAAATAACACTGCATGTCACAATTCTGATATTTAGGGACTCAGACTTACTTTGCTCCTAATGCATTTAAATACGAAATTTCCCTTTATGCCAGAAGATAGAAAGAAGTAGAGGCTAATACTGTAAAAGGTCAACTAATATCAACTGTTAAAAACAGATACCGGGCATAGCCAGAAATGTATTTCATAACAACCTTGAATGTATGATTTCTTGTTGGAACAGCTCTTCCTAATTTGCATGATTGGTGAGTGCCTGAAGCCCTGCTGTGGAAAGTCTTCTGTCTGATCTTCCCTCTATCAGTTCTTTACCAAGAAAGAGAGCAAGTCCTGGCAAAGACCAAACTTGAAAGGTTGTCACTGCTATCCAAACAGGGAGCCACTGGCTCCACACAACTCTGTGAAGGGTTTTTTTAAAATGATAATTCTCTAATTTTAGTAGTGTTTTGCTCTGATGAAATGAGCTGTCTCCATTAGGTTCAACTTTTCTCTGGCCCAAAAAGACAATGAAGGAAGCGAATGACATGGCTGGACTAGAAAGTGATCTGCACAGAGGTGTACGGAGCAGCTGGCCTTTAAGTGAGCAGCTAGCTAACAAGCGCTTTCCTTCCCGAATTCCTTTACCTCTTGAGTCAGATTCCAGTCCTCTGACCACAAGCCAGTTGGCTGATGGAAATACCCATCGCTGCTTCCAGCACAGCACTCAGGCCAGCACAAGCTCTGTGCCTTTGTTTGGTTTCAGATGACAAAGCCATTTTGCTCACTCTAACACTGCACTCCATCATCCCTATAGAGCTTAATTTTCACAAACACACAAGCTTTTTTCCCCTGAAAGTAAGTTACCCTTTAAAAAGAGAACAAATAGTAAATGTGAAGTGAATTTTTTTCAGAATAAGGAAGTAACAGTTTTTTATTTTTATATCAATAAGATTATTTGAAATATTGTTATTGTAAACGGATCAGCTAGTCTTATCATTCCACTCGGGTTGTAGACCATTAAAATAGACCCTTTCACAACTTAATCTGTACTTACAAACTCACCCTATAGCATTATTTCTGAACTAGCTCTACAGCTATCCCAAGCTGTAAAATCTTTTTGGTTGGTTCTAAGGATCAAACCCAATGGTTTGCCCCTAGCCTGGAAGCTATTTTTTTAATGAGTTTATTTTTTCCCACAGCACTCTGAATAATGTGTACACATATGAATGAATGAAGTCTAGAAATCGTAACCTTGTGATTCTTTTTTCTTTTTTGGTCTTTTTTGAGGTAGGGTTTCACTGTATCGTTCAGGCTGGCCTTGAACTCATGGTGATTCTGCTGCCTCAGCCTCCAGAGTGCTGGAGTTATAGGCATGTGCTACCATGCCTAGCTTATCTTGCAATTTTAAAGCTATCTATCCATATTATAACTATTAACCTAAAGGTAGCAAGGCCAAAAGCCAAAAGGGGCCTACGAAATCACTGAACCTGAGAACTGAACGAGCAATTGAAAGTAACCTGGCACTTTCCCCTACTTTCTATGTGAGCTTCTCCAAGCAGCACTTGTAAATGACATGTTTTCACCCAAACACTCATCCTATAAATGCTATTTATTCTTTCCTTCACTTCTTTTCTCCGAATGTCATGGGCTCTTTGAGTCACAGATTCAGATACATCTTTATCTTTTCCCTAACACTTTTAGGCATGTTATAAGGGGTAATCAAAATACAACGGATGGGGCTGGGGATTTAGTTCAGTGGCCTAAGCGCCTGCCTTGCAAGCAGGCAGTCGTGAGTTCAATCCCCGGTACTGATAAAAAGGAAAAAGACAAAAAAAAAAAAAAAAATACAATGAATGGTTAAATTTTTTAAATTAAAGGACACATTGCCATTTATCCTTTCAAACACTCTCACCTTGTTTCCAATAAACTTAGCACACTGTTCTTACTACCTTCTGAAGCAGTTCTGAACGCCCTCTTTTATAAGTATCTCTATGAGGTACGACAGACAATATATGGTTAATGCCACTGCCAAGTGCCAATGGAAGGGCAGGCTCATGAAGCATTACACCGTGTCCTCCTCTCCTTAGTCGTCAGATTTGGCACAATGTGATTTTTGGCTCTTCCTCAAAGTCAAAATGACCATGAAAGGTAAATGTTTTGGATGATTCAAGGCAGCCATGACAGCACAATTAAAGACACTCATGAGGCAGGACCTCCGGAACTTTTTCAGGAAGTGGTAAGCACAATGGGGGAAGTGCGCTTGGAGCACGGGAGGGTATTCTTAGACGGACTAAGGGCAATGTGCCTTTTCCTGTAATATATTTTTATCTGAACGTACCCCTCATATACATACTGTTTTAACATGTAAATCAAATTGATCGTATGCTGGTTTTGTTTTTATAATAGCTACACAATAATCCATTTGACAACTTCTTTATTGAAACACATTCATTTTGCTTTATTTTATTACTGTTGATTTTGCCACTTTGAACAAAAAGAGTAAGTCTTTATGTATACTTATCTTTATGTCTCTAAGAGAAACTGTCAGACTGTGTGCTAGGTAGAAGGCATGTGCATGTTTAAATTTTAAAGTCCTTACCAAGTTGCTTTATAAAAAGGGCTCTGAAAGACTTCACATTTCTACTGAATGAAAGCAACTATGCTTCTCTGAAACTGACTGCTTGGTTTTATTAGTTTAAGGGGACTACAGTAATATCTTACCATTATAACCTAGAAGTTGAAATTAGCTTTCCAAATGATTCTGGCCTGTTTGAATTGTTCCTTTTCCAGCTATTTGTTTACATCCCTTGTCCATTATCTATTAGTTATCTGTATTTTTCATAGTATAAAGCCTGTCAAGGTATCTTTTGCTGTATAGTTTCCTAGTCATACCTACATGGACACATACACATGCCACAGATAATTTCATGTGTATATTAAAGCACAATGGACCATCCTGCACACATCCTTCCTTTTTGTTCCCCCTTACCATTTATCAGAAATATTTTCCTATGTTAACAAACACCTACCACATGATTTTAAACAACTGAATATTAATAGTCCATTATACGGTTATCATAATTTTAAACTAGTCCCCTCTAGTATGTCATCAGTTTTTATAAAATACACAGCCCACATTAACAATGCTGCAGTAACTATATGTATCTTTGTGCCCATTTATGCTCATTCTCTGCACTTGAAAGTAAATTAGCGCTTGGCATGGTGCTACACGTCCATTGTATCAGCACTTGGAAGGCTGAGGCAGGAAGATCACTGCAAGTTCAAGGCCAGCCTAGCTACATATTGAGTTCAAGGCCAGCCTGAACTCATAGCAAGACCTTGTCTCAAAAAGATTTTTAAAAAAAATTTTATACAAAGAGGTTACAAGTTGGAAAAAATATGCAAAAGAACATATAGACCCTCTACAGTGACACATTTATGTGAAGCCATGTGCCAAAATATATGTGCTTCACACATATTATTACATGTTTGTTCACATAGTTAACTTTAGCATCAGTTCTATTAGATAAAGGGTAACTTACTTTATTTCATCTCTACTTCTCAAGATATGCATTGCTGAGTGTTTTCCATGTGCCAGGAATCATCCAAAGTGCTTTATAGCAGTAAACTCATTGAATTATTTCACCAATTTTACAGAAGAAACAACTGAACCATTATGAGGTTAAATAATTTGTCCAAAGTCAGAAATTGAAAAGTGCAGATCCAGGATTTGCCTCCAGGTAATCTGTCCCCAGAGTCAGGCTCTAACTGTTAGCAGCAGCACTGCCTGATAGGTTAGATGGAAGCCCAGGAATTCAATAAACAATAGCAAAGCTAGAATTTGAACCTGCTTCTCACAGATACCAAAAGCCCTGCTCCCTGCCCTGCTGATGATAACCAAGAAAACAGGAGGCTCTTCTACGGGCAATAGAAAAATAGAATAAAAAGAACAGCAGCATTTAAACTACCTTTATGTCATTTAGGAACTCGATGTCTTCTATCTGTATTGCTTTATTTGTCCATATTAAGGCACTGTAGGTCTTGGTCTTTTCTTCTTCACCTTCTTTCATATGTCCTATTGCTTCTCTAAATAAAACAATTAAAACGCTCTGAATATATAAAATATCACGTTTCAGTTATCTATAGACATTTGGGTGATATCTACCTCTTTGTTTTATAAACACTATTATTATAAAAGCTCAGGTACAAGTCTTTGGGCAGATACGTGGTTTCATTTCTCCTGCAAATATAATGTCTAGAAGTGGAATTGCTGGGTCATGTGGGCACTCGCTATTTAACCTTTTAAGAAAATGTCAAACTGCTTTCCAAAATGGCCGCATGTGTGACCCCGCCAGCGATGCACGTTCCAGCTTCGGGCACCCTGCGGCACTTGTCATTTTCTGTGTTTTTATAAGAGCCACCCTAGTGACTGTGAAGTGGGACCTCACTGTGGTTTTGCTTTGCATTGCCCTAGGGACTAAAGACCTGGGCATTGTGCATGTGTTCACTGACCCTTCTTCATGTTTTCCTTGGAGAGATGGCTGCTTAGCCCCTCCCTCGTTATTAACTGGGATGTTAGAAAGTTCTTTATATATTCCAGGTGCGATTCCTTTATCAGCTACACGATCTGCAACTAAAATTTCTCTTTCGAAATAATCTCCAATGAACCTACCCTCACCTTGTGACAAGCTGCAAGTCACGTACTTGGATTTTGTCGGATGATTTATTAATTTTCTGTAGTAGCAGAAAAAGAAAAACAATTAGCAATTGTAGCTCAGTTACAGAGTGGCAAAGACAGGATGATTTCCATAGCATGAAGTGGCTTACCTGCTGAAGTTCCTTCATTTCTTGTGAAGTGAAATGGACTCTATGAGGATTCACCAGCTCGACTGCAAAGGGCCTTCCTGGCAGCACACCCCATTGTGAAACAGAAACACGTTGATGGAGTTAACATTTAGGCCCACACAAGAGGTTAAGGAGTGTGAAAATGGGCTGAGCTCTAGAAGCCTGGAAAGTTCAGTGCATGACTACATCTGGCAGAGAAGAATGTGTGAAAAGAATCAAGTGGCTTTTGGGGGAACAGGGTTGCTTAACCCCAGCACAGGTAATATGGTCCACAAGCAAGCTTGTTTTAATTACAAAATCACCTTCAAACAACGAATTAAGTTGCTTATGATGCTATGATACTGTCACATGCAACAATACCCAGGTATACCAAGTTGAAATCTACTCTCCCAGTCTAATCCACTGGTGACACAGAAAAATGGCAATTCCATGAGAGAAAGGGATGACAAATCTCAGGTGGCTCAGGATTATATTTTATCATCTTGTAATTCACCAACATAAAATGAGAGAAATGAAGGCTAAGAGCAGAATTATTTTTAAATGAGGACATAAATTTTGAAAACTGGTACTTCTGAAATGTTACTAAATGGAACAATTAATCAAACTACGGGAGAGGGATACACATAAAAGTTCCTTACAAGCTATGGGCACGGTATGCAATCAGGATCCCTTCTGAGGTAAAGTTTCCTGTGAGACAAATATCACAGCATTTAAAAAGGCAGCGCCACAATCGCAGGGCCCTGCCCACTTTCCTGCTGACTAAAGGACTACTGCAAGCCTGCTGTCTGCAGAGATAACAGTTAGAAAGTGAGTTCTGGACAGACAATGCTGATGTATCTTACCATTCCCTAATGTTCTCACATCTACATCTTCTCTTCCAGAGGATGAGAAATTAAAACCTTCGGAAAACAGATCAAGAAAAAAAATCAGAGACATACACCTCTGAATTACTTGTTTCCAAGCTCTGGTATAACCCAATTTAAAGTCCTGAACAGTGTACAGGAGATCACAAAGGACAGTTACCATTCCACCTAGACTCAACCGATGAGAACAGAAATGGTCGTAATAAACACCACATACGGCCTACTCGCTATGTGTCAGCTCTGGAATAACAATTATTCATACATTATTAAATACTTATTATAACTTTGGGAGGAATTACATAAAAGAACATTAAGCTTTAGAAATATAGGCAATTTTCACAAAGTCACATAATTAATGGGCAGAGCTAGGAAATTCTGATGTCGAAGGTCTAGCTTGGACATCATCACATGGGAAGGCACAGTACTGCTTGACAAAGGCCCCTACCACCTCAATGGGCACCAGCTTACGGCAAAAATTCTATCATCTTTTTTTATTTCCTGCAAGAAATCTTTCATGTAAGAATTAAAGACTTAAAGAAAGATGTGGGATGTTGAGCCTAAAAAACAAATTCGTTGTCTAATCAAACCTAAACTAGAACTATAATTCAACTGGTGTACATCCTGCAATAAATAGATCATCACAAACTAAAAACTATAAAAACTGGATAAAAATGCCTAAATAAAAAGTACACAACAACATTCTTAGATACAGAACTGACTGATGATTTCATCACCATCACCACAGCGAATATTACCATGAATGGGTATTATTCTAAGTGCATTATGTGTCATTACACTGTCATTATCAGACCAAAATAAACCCCTTGCCTCAGGTCACATCATTCTAAGAAATGCAGACCCAAAGGTAGCATCCAGCAGGATCCCCAGAATGCTTAACCATTAACCCAGAATGTCTCTGTATCCCAAAGACAGCCTGAGACCTCAGACTTGTACCCGGCAGAAAGACAGGGCGAATCTTCTTTGACCAGGGTCTGGGAAAGCTGGAATGTTTTGGGAACTTTGGCTAGGAACCTACAGAGTGGCAAAGTCTCAGGTCACTGAATATAAAGATCAAAGGCTAGGAGAACTCAGGTTCATACCTTGCCTTAACCATTCAGTGAACAAGTATTTACCAGGTACCTGCCAAGTACGGAGTATCATAGCTGATGCTGGGGAGACAAAGTCCAACAAAATGGACACAATTCTTAGGCTCACAGGGCTTACTCTTTGTGGAGGGATATGAACTGCAAAAAAGTGAGTCAGGCTTATGACAGGATAAGCACAGGAACACTGCCGCACTAAGGGCCCAGTTCTAACGCAGGCTGTGGAGCTGGTCTTTACTCTCCAATACTCCCGCCACCTTGGAGGGCACAAGGAACACTACTGGGGGGAAGAACAGAGGGGAGAAGGCCTGTGTATCACTGTGACAGCCATGTCCTCCCAGCAAAGATTCTACACACAGAATTTCCATGCAGAGTTTGGAAAAAGGAAGGTTAGCTGCTTGGGAAGCTGAGTCAAGAAGGTCCCTTAAGCCCAAGGTCAGCCTAGGCAAAACAGGAAGACAATTTCTCTTTAAAAAGAATAAAATAGAAAACGGAAAAGAAGGAAAGGCTAAAAGGCTTGCAAGGCCCATGAAAACAACACTGAAAATTAGTCTCCCTTTCTCTGGGGAGAAAATAGTATTTCACTTTTCCTTTACCTTTTAGAAATCCCTTTAGTAGACCAAAGCCAACATTTGTTGGCTTTGGGCTATTTGCTGTCCATCATGCACTATCCAATGAAGTGAGACCCACAGGACCCAGAAGTATATGTCTTGCAGAGACGAGCAACCCCCTGGAGCTAGTCTGGTAAGGCCTAGCTATCCACGCTGCTGCTCCAGCTCAGAAGTGTGGGTAACCTGCCTGTGTGTGATGACAGGTGAGGGCTGGCCAAAGGGGCAGCCTGGAGGAGGGTGAGGTCGGGCTCCCTTCCAGGGAAGCAGCGGGAGCAGGCAGGGAGGGGGAATCTGGGACTGCTTCAGATGACACAGCGGGCACCCAGCCCTGGCTAAGCCAGCCAGGGAGGGTTCTGGGCCCCTTATTTACAGGCCCAACATTCACAGCAACCTTTCAACCTTGACTCTCTCACCCAGCAGGCCAGCAGCTGCCATGGAAGCAGCACTCCAGCCAGCTCTTGAGTTTAGTACAGGGAGGGCTCGCTCCGAATGTCCTGAAGCCCCAGTGCTGCAGCACAGGCCCTACTAAAATAAAAACTCACTCTGTTGCTCCAGAGAAAGAAAGAGTGAGAGAGAGAGGAAAAGAGGAAGAAAGAAAGAGAGTGAGAGAGAGAAAGAATTATTCAGACTACCAAGTCCCGAAGAACCCCGAATCTTGTTTGTCTTCCAATGTCAAGTTACTAAGAAGTCCACAGCAACATCAGAAGCGCCAGTCAGATGAGCAGACTCAAGCAGTGGCACTAAGGCAGGGAAGCTGTGGCTTCCTAGGACCGGGAAGGCACGGACTCCCTCGGCCACTGATTTGTCTTCGGCTCTCCACACCTATCTCCTCGTCACAGGGGGGCCCACAGAAGCTACAACGCAAGATCAGCAGGCACAGCAAGAAAAAACAGGAAGGGGGCTGGGGATTTAGCTCAGTGGCATAAGTACCTGCCTTGCAAGCAGGCGGTCGTGAGTTCAATCCCCGGTACCGATAAAAAGGAAAAAGACAAAAAAAAAAAAAAAAAAAACAGGACTCAGAAGCAAGTCTACCGATTACATGAACTCAGGCCAAAAATCTCAGATTCATCAACCAGTCCATGAAACTCCTCACAGATTCCTGCCCATCAGGAAGAAAGAGGTGGGCAGGGGATTTAGCTCAGCGGCATAAGCACCTGTCTGGCAAGCGCAAGGTCATGAGTTTGATCCTCAGTACCAAAAAACAAAACAAAACAAAAAGAAGAAGAAAGAGGTAAACAAAGCTAGGTTCTTGGGAGGGCTAGAGAAGCACCAAATCCAGGCCAAAGGAGTACTATGGGCCCTACTTTTTAGAAAATACATTTCAAAACTGAGAATTAAGAAAATAGCCTTGGACCATAGAGTGGGAAAAAACTTATAGAGGCAACCTAAAAACTTGACTTGCAGTCAGGAATAATAGCTGACCAAAAGAAAAAGGAGCCAGTGCCTTAATGCTGGGGTTCTGCAAGCAAAGGAAAATAAAGGGGTACACACACATCAAGGGTCAGCAAAATGGCTGCTGCCCGGCCAGCATAAACAAGCAAGTTTTATTGAGATAACGAACAAAAAAACTCAAATTGCGCATGCTTAGATTATATAACTTGTTTGTTTCTTATCCTTACAGGACCTCATGTGTTTACCTTGGGGTGGGGGCGATGTTTCAAGGCCTACACTTTTCCCATAACATCGTCCACCGGATGTGTCCAGGACAAAATGGAGTCACTGTGGCCTCTCTACACCTTAAGTGCTAGAAAATACACACTTAAAAATTAGATGAGTTTTCTAAAATCACATTCGTTCTTGCCATAGGCTCTAATTCTTGGGTTCTTTAAGGCTTATGCTTAAAATAAAGGGCATTTCAAAAGCAAACAGGGCAAGAATGATTAAAACCTATACTTGGTTTTAATCTGCAGTAGCCTTTGGGCCAGTACGCATGGGCCGACAGACATCAAGGCTGAAAAACCGGCAGAGGCCAGATAATGAAAGCCCCAGAATACTACGTTAAGAAGGTAGGCTTTATCTTACAGCTCATCAGTTTTTAGCAGGGAATTGATATGATAAATACTTACTCAATATTTGAAGTAATAAATGTAGCATTGGGCCTGGTGAGGTGGCACACACCTGTAATCCCAGCACTTGGGAGGCCGAGGTAGGAGATGACTAAAAGTTCAAGGCCAGCTGGGCTACACAGTGGGTTCAAGCCCAATCCGAACTATACAGTGAGACTATGTCTCAAACAAAAACAAATCCCTGGTGATCTAGTAGTTACGACTTGGTACTCCAAAAAAAAACAAAAATAAAGTAGTATTAGGGAAAACTTAGACTCACTTTTATATTAAGAGTGTCAAAATACTATTCTTTCACTAGGGAATTTGCAGGTAGGTAACAGGACATGCTAGTCTAAGGTGACTAAGAAACAAGTTTATCTATCCTGTTTATAGGAAAGAAAGGTTATGTAAGGAGCTCGGCTGTTTCACTGGTTTATTTCATGGAGCTATAAAAGTTAAGGGCACAACAACTAAAATCACCTTTCTACAGTTTTCAAATATAAACCCTTAATCAAAAATAATAATAACTAATATATCTGAGAAACGTGGGTTTAGTAAATTAATTCACAATTTCAAATAAGGTTTTATCACCTGTCAAGGAGATAGCACAACGGTTTTGAGGTCTCTTTTTCTCAAAGGACCCTTAATAAATTTCCTCAGCATCCATATTGAACACACAATTTGCTTTATATTTAGTTTGGGGACAACAGTCCTCCCTTCATGTATAAAATGACAACTTCATGAAAGATTGCAAGGAGAAACATACATCTATTTCAGAGCCCTCTGGGGTAACATGAGCTTCCCCTGGGATAAATCTCTCTAAGATTTAAAATAGAACTGAAGAGTTTTGGGATCTTCTGGAAGAAAAGGAGTCCAGTAGCACCAGAAAGGCTTTGAAAGACTTTTTATGCTCAGCTGTTTTTCTACTTTTTCTCCCAGACATGATATTGAACCATAAAACTTAGGAGATAACTAGCCTGTAAATATTAAATTAAGTAAAAGCTCAAGGCAAAAGCTCACAGACTTTACCCCTAGCTGCCTTTGACCTGACAGGCCTGTTGAGACAAGGAAAGCGTAAGCCTAACAGGACCAGACCCATCCCACAAACTCTGGGCACATTAATATCTCAGCAGTTAAAATACAACACGTTGGCATGAAGTTTTTCTAAAATGGCCTCTGTTCATCTAATTTCTCTAGGCCTGAACTTCATTGTAACACATTTTATATGTTAGAACAGAAGCTAGAGATTTGCCAGTGATGACTCTCAGATAAGTACTGCATGTGGAATCTGTAGTGCACCCAGTGCATTCATTTCAAGTGGTATCAATTGTTTGCAATTTCCCAGGAGAGAATAGGCATCATGAGAAAGGAAAGACATCCCTGGACCCCTAGGCTAACATCCAGCCTTGACTAGAGAAGCCTGGACATAATCCGTATTCACGGGAAGCTCACTGCCAAGGGGCCTAGGCTTGGTAGTGATTAGCAAAACATAGTGATTTTTTCCTGTCAACCCAAAGAACTCTGTTCATGAATGACAATGGATTTAAAAATATCAATATTATAACTTACTGTCTGCTTTAAATACTGTCAGTAAATGATCTGAAATTAATTCTTCCACTGAAGATTCCAGCTTCCTTTCTCCATCAATTATCCAAGGAGTTTGTGGTAGATTTCTGGAAAATTTATTATATCTCCCTGTCAAAGAAATATTAGGTAACCTGTATGGAATGGCATAATTAACACAATAGGCTAAAAAGAGAAGCAACGATTTGTATTGAGCGTCATACCCTAAGCACTACGATATAAAACAAGGCCTAGTGTTTAATTCACATCTTACTTGAGGAGCTAGCACATAGACATGAAGATAATCAAATACAAAGATATAAAGTAACACCAGAACAGATGGCTAAAGACATGGTAGCAATGAATTTGAAAAACTGCTCAATATTCTCAGTAAGTTCACTCGCTGACTGACCAAATTACAGAGTGGAATACACTAAGGATCATTTTTTTTAAAAAAACTGTTGCTTTACAACATAATTAGTAGTATTTTCAGTACAACAGTCGTTAGTGATAATATATTCAAATACAGGAAATTCTGAAGGTTTTGTAACTTAGAAAAACAAACAACAACAACAAAATGCTAGCAGACTATGACTCGCTGCTTATGAACAAAGCTGCACGAAGCCAGCAGTTTTCGTGGCCCAGGGCAATCAAGGCCGAAGTACAACCTCCTTCCACCTGTCCCTGTAACGCAGCGTGCCTTTCAAACACTGCTACAGCACTGCTTGGCAAAGTCAGTGTAACAACTCGTTTTTCCGGGAGGAAGCCAAGTATTTACTCATTTGGGAGATAAATTATTTTCTCGGGTTTAGCTTACATGTTACAAAGCATGCTTTTACACTGCAGTTTTTCTCATCAGTTTTGAGTTTCTACATCTGCCTATATTTCAAGTTGGCCAATTCTGAAGGAAACTAATAAATTTGAAAAGGTAAAAATTACATTTCTGATGGAAATTCCCTTTTGCATGGCATGTTTAATAACAGATTTCCTGACATCTTTAAGAAAGGCTTTAGAATCTAAAATAATCTGGCTATCAGTTCTACTTCTCAAGAGTAAACTGTTGATACCCTCCTAACAACAGTAAGAATAAAGCAGGTGAGTTCTCAGTTGAGTTGTTCACAAAGGACAATAGGTTGACAGTGCACACATATTCCAGACTAAATAGTTTACCAGCCACAAAAACAGCACCATGCGCACATTCAATTTCAAGAACAGTGCATACAGCCTTTGGCGAGTTTGGAGGACAAGGAAACTGCCTGCAAAACAAAATAAATTTACGGCTACTATTTTCCAGACGTGATATTGAATCATAAAACTAAGATGAATCAGCATTGTCTGGGACACACATAGAACCTGGGTCTCTAATGGACTATACTTCTCCCTAACTTTTGGTTTGGAAATCATAAACTCCAGTCCAGACTCCAGAGTTCTCATTTTGAGAGCTGCCTGGTGGTTCTGGAAGGGTAGTGTGGTCCATACACCCTCGCCTGAGGAAATGTCCTCGTCCATGGGAGGGCTGCTCTTCCCAAGGGACACACACAGAGCATGACGTAGGAAGGGGACACCCAGCCAGCCATATCAGCCAAATAACCCTGACAGTCAGTGAGGTGACAGAGGTCACAGGCAAATCGCTCTCACATCATGGAGTACCACTTTTATCACGTGACAGTGGAACTAGGTAAATCAGGCCTCAGATGCTACCTTTTAAGCTCAGAAAGCCTCATTTTCCCAGATAATGATTTCTAACAGGCTTGAGAATTGGTGGGGGGGATAGATAATGCAAGCCCCGTTAGGGCCCCCATTATTTTTTTCTCCTCAGTCACTTGCTGCTGGCTTACACAATTGTCAACTGTCAGGGCAAGGCTGGTGTGCAGCGAGCGCCCCGTCCACGGAGGGCCCTGCGCCAGTGCCACATGCCCACCTTTCAGGGGGTACTGCACTGTTTTTCCTTTCCCTTCCTTCTCATTCCAACTATGACTTGGAAGAGCAGAAAAAGTAGGAAGTGGCTGACACTCCCCTCTGTTAGCTAAGAAACTTCAATCCAACTGAATACAGAGAGGAAGGAAAAACATATGGCTTATTTTCTGTCCACTACCTAGGAAATTTTCAAAGCCACAAACCAGAGTCCACGTACAATTACTAAATGTGGATACATACGTATATTTTGGTGGTACTGGGGACTGAATACAGGTCATTCAAATAGTATACCACTGAACTATATCCTCAACTCTTTTATTTTGAGAGAGGGTCCTGCTAAATTGTCCAGGCTTGCTTCAAACTTGTAATCCTCCTGCCTCAGCCACTCAAGTAGCTGGGATTAAAAGATGTAAGTAAACCACCACACCTAGCTGGATCTTTCTTAGTTTCTCAGGATGTCTTTATAAAGAAATCATTTAGAAACTCAGGGAATAAATGCTTGTATAATTATGTTTACCTTCCAAAATGTAATAAACATATTTCCACTCTGAGATTCACTTTTAGTCAGTAAAAGATATGAGACCCTCCTTATAACATTACTGCTTGAAATGTATTCCACAATGTTCTGGGAGAATAACTATAATAGTATTTTATTTAATAAAATAAATTCACTGAGAATTATCATACAAGGTTTGCTAGACTTACTATAATTCTGCTTTTTTTTTTTTGGCACTGGGGATCAAAATCATGACCTTGCTCGAGCCAGGCAGGCACTTACACTCCTGAGTTAAATCCTCAGCCCCTAATTCAGCATATTTTAACAATCTGATATTCAAAAATGGAGTTAATCTGCTTATGATTTCAGCTGAAGAACAGAGTGGAACTAGAGCCAGGTTCCTGTGCTCCCAGCCAGTGCTATTTGCATTACAAATAAGGAAACTCCCAAGCTTTTTCCCTCATCTAGAGATGGGACACCTAGGAAATACAGACTTGGGGATGTAACAAGAATGGCACTGGACCAGAGGTTCACTCTCTATCATCCAGATGAAAACTTAGGCAAGACAGATAGATCCTCTTTTGACATAAAAATCCTCTTCTAGGGGCTGGAGGTTTAGCTCGGCGGCATAAGCACCTGCCTTGCAAGCAGGCAGTCGTGAGTTCGACCCCTGGTACCGATAAAAAGGAAAAAGACAAAAAAAAGTCCTCTTCTAAACATGAGGAAGTTGTGTTTGATTGACAATTCAAATATTAATTTGGACACCACATTATGCCAGCTGCTGAGCCAGGGGCATATAAAGCATGGTCTCTGAAACATATCGTCTTGTTTCAGCAATAATCCAGATTATCTCGAACATTCCCTTTTTTAAAAAATTGGTTTATTTTCCTTTCTTTCCTTTTTTTTTTTTTGGTACGAGGAATCAAACTCAAGGTGTTGTCCCGCTGAGCTGCATCCAGGGCCACATTCTCTTTATTGTAAAGTCCATGACTGCTTCCCTATTTTTAAACTTCTACTTACTTGCGAAAATCTTCCTCTTTTATCTTATTCAAAGCTTTCATAACTGCCATTCTGGTGAACACCGACTACACAGAGCAAAATGAAAAGACATTTCATTACCTAAACAATTAACCCTGGCCCTGGAGCACAGAAGATGATCAGAGAAATTACATTGTTTTACATACTTAAAAGGGGTGAATATTTCACAGTTCAAAGAAAACAAGTAAAATTTAAGCAATCGTAATGCCCGTTCTGTAACTGGTGTACCTCCACAGCCCTGCTCTCCAATCTGGCCTGTCTCCATGGGGCCAAGAGATCAAGCAGAACAAGCCTCCTTTATGTATGGTCCCACTCCTCACAATGTGGCATTCTTCACACACAAAAATGATGGCACTGCATACAATCTGCTCTGAATTTTTTTCCCTAGACTTCAAGAGGAATTCAGAGTGGTCCATCTGCATTTTTTCCCTGCATCCCTTCAGTGGCACAACGGTATACGGTTTCGGACTTGCCTATCAAGGTAGGAGGTAAACGAGAGCCAACCAGTCTGCTCTGGCACCAGCCAGCTCAGTGTCACTCAATAGCCACAAAGTAAGCAAACCCACTGTTCTGACCAGAAGGGCATCTACAAACCTTCCAGTTGAGTTTGAGTTTTGTTTCTCTTGAGGGAGGGTCTGACTATGTAGCCCAGGCTGGGCTCAAACTCATAGTTCTCCTGCCTCAGCCTACCTAGTGCTGGAATTCCAGGTACGCACCACCATGCACAGCTTCCTTGAATTTTTTAAAATAAAAAGCCAAAAAAGCTCACGGAATACAAATATGTATTCCATATGCAATTAGTACATATATTCATGTCTTACAATGATAAATCATAATTACTTCTGGTTATACAGAATCATATGTGACTGAAAAGGAGCATAAAGTAGACATCTTAACAGTGAAAGCAATTATAGCACTGATTCTAAACCACATTCTGGGGAATCCTAGGGAGTAGTCTACAAGGAACCACATGATCAAATTGAAAATTAAGTGTCTGTTTGATAATACATGAAACCTTAGACCTGAAAGAATCTCAAAAGGTCATTCAGGTAACTCCCAGTCACTAAGCAAGAGCCTACATTTGAGGCTTTGCAACTCCCACTGGCTAAAGGATATGGTGTCTAAGATGCTTCAGGGAAAAAAAATTCTTATCTTCTTATCTGATGCTCGCACTTATATATTTCCTCAAATGTAACAAAAATGAAACTAGATCTTCAGCACAAATGTTTTACAGGTCATTTGGGCAATGCTCCTTAACTGGTACGGCAAAGCAGCAAAGCCACAGTTGTACCAAGATACCTACCCCTTTAGTTCACAAAGCCTTCTGCACAGGGCCTGGGGCAAGGGGATCCCCAGACCTGCTAGCGCCAGCCTGGAATGATTTCATCTGTCAAGCTTACAGTGCTGAACAAACATGGTAAGTGACATGTGCCATGATAAAAGAGTATGGAAGCATCGTCCTAGGTATGGCCTCCATCTATAGTTATTTCTGTAGAGGATATGGTATTTGACAAATGTTATCTCTTTCCCCCACCCCATTCTGAAAGGACAAGGAATTAGTCAAAGCAGAGGAAAGATCAAATTATGTGTCTCTGACAATAAAATATTCTTTTTAACCATCATAAGAACAAAATGAGTATCAGTAAAACTGCAGAAATGTGCCTCTGTACAGAACCAGCTAAATAAGGAGGGCATGAAAGATGACCTCAAAAACATGGCATGCCTTTCGATCTGGCACGGGCACTAAAACTAATAAACTAATTTGCTCATTAACCTGAAAACCAGCTAACATCAGACAGTCAAGAGGAGTGTGAATTAAACGCCTGTTGTAAATGTAATATGATACAGCTATAATGGTTTCCTTTACCTGAAAATCCAAGATCCAGATTAAGGAAGTCAACCAGCAAAGTGATACAATATTCCAAATCTAAAAACTCCCAGAATCTGGAAACACTTCTGGTCCAAGCCTTTTGGTTACAGGACATTCAAACTGTATTAATTCAGAACTACCTAATAAAAAATTTACCTTGGTTTATATTTTTAAACACCAATTTCTAAAAAATATATATTAGACAAAGGCTTGGAATGCTACTGCTACTTACCATGGATTTTTCCCAGATGATGTAATTTAGGGAGTTAAAAATTAAAAGTTGATTTTCCTCAAATAGTAACATCATTGAAAGACTGGCTCTAAACTTAATGTACCAGTGGAATAACCTAGACACTGACAAATATTTGTGTGCTATGACTTCCTAGCCAGAGGCAAAGGTGCTGAGGGTGAAAAAATAATAAAAATAAATGCAGTAAATGGAAATATTCAAAGACTAATTCTTGGTATAACAGAGTTGCCATGTTTTTAAAGTACATTTGTTTTATTGTTAACTTGAACGGGGATTTAACTTAGCGGCATAAGCACCAGCCTTGCAAGTGCGAGGTCGTGAGTACAATCCCTGGTCAAAAAAAAAAAAAATATATATATATATATATAGTTAACTTGAATATGGAGTACAGAAAAACTCACTAGAAAATAAGAAGTAGCCTCACCTGTTTGTTTTTAGCTGGCTTGAAACAATCTGGGCAAATTGCACCTCTAAAATAAAATTCAAGTTAATAAAAAAGGTTAATGAGTTTGTTTGGAAATGGATATAATTCAAATATATTTTACATGACATGGCTGCTAAACCCAGGATTTCAGAAGCAGTCAAAACGAATCTTTACATGGGCTGCACCGGTTTGCTTAGGAACTTTACATGGGAGATTACATTTTAAACCTCCTAAGACATGACGAGTTTTGAAATATTCATTAGAAAGACAAACAATACTATTTTATGAAAACCAAAGGAATGAACAATTTTACACAAGTGACATTGCTGTTTACGTGACAACTTACAGGAAGTGGCAATCCTCAACTGTTTCTGGGTGAGCGAAGATCACACTCACTTCAAATAAACTCTAAAAATTAAAAGAAAGTTTTAAAATGAGCAAAAGGAAACTAACATCTAACAACTTCTCAATGGAAATTGAAATTAACTCTCAAAGACTGGTTCAGAAAAAAATGATGCGGAAACTAGAAATACTACTGCTCTCAGAACAGCTTGTTTACAGAGCAGCTACCAACAAAAGGATTTTATTCTTCCATTTAAAAATTCAGTCACTAATGATACCACCAAAAAAGTCTTTGTAAAGTTTTTTTAAATTAATTTGTATGATTTTGGGGCATCTATGTAAATTAGGTATGAAGATGAATGAGAATTTAGAGAACTAGAAAGAAACAAAGAGATAAAGCTAAAAGAAAAGATGGTTCAGTCAATACTATGGTTAAAATTAATAAAAAGGCAAAAATACCGTGCTGTATTCATATCCTTTAAAAGTCCATACAAAAATTTTTTTGTACAGGGCTGGGGTTCAAATTCAGCAACACTTTGCCTCTGAGCTATACCCAGCTGCCCCACTTTTTTGTTAAACTAATTAATTTAGTAGCACAGGGACAACCCAGGGCTTTACCCAGCTGGCCTCAAAGTTGAGATACTAAGTAGCTGAAATTATAGGCATGCAGCACCATGCCCAGCTGGAAGCTTATTTTTATTTTGCTTTATTTTTTGTTTTTTTGAGACAGGGTCACACTATGGAGTTCAAGGTGGCCTTGAACTCACTATGTAGCCCAGGCTGGCCTCGAATTTGTGCGGATCCTCCTGTCTCAACTTCCAGAGTGCTGGAATTACAGGCATGCACACAAGGCTTATCTTAAAGTGCTCAAATTTTTTAATTGATTTTAGTTTTAAAAGAGGGGTCTAGGGCTGGGGATTTAGCTCAGTGGCTTAAGCACCTGCCTGGCAAGCGCAAGGTCATGAGTTCAATCCCTGGCAGCAAGAAAAAAAAAAAGAGGGGTCTTAATTTTTTATTACAGAAGTGGTACCCACAAACTATAAAATAATCAAATACATGGTTTTTTAGTCCCATTCCACCAAGGTAGAACTAACAATTTGGTAGGTGTCTAACCATTTTTAAGACTTTAAACATATAAGGGCTGGGGTTTAGCTCAGCGGCATAAGCGCCTGCCCTGCAAGCACGCAGTCTTGAGTTTGATCACTGGTGCCAATTAAAAAGAAAAAAGAATTTAAACATATATGTATTTTTTGAGGTATTAAGCATACTTTTGAAAAATTCCTATATTTAATCTCACTTCATGGGCATCTTTCAACTCTAAGAATTGTCACACATTCAAGTTACAGAAAATTTTACTGTTACTAAAAAATGCTACAATAAATACTCTTATAAAGAAAAAGATTCCATATTATATATATTTTTACCTCTGCAGAAAATATGCAAAATTCCACATTAGGAAAAAGCTATACATACACTATGTTGCAGCTTACCTTTTTTTTATTGTGCTCTGTACTTACAAGTTTGATATGTAGTAAAGTCATTAGCTACTCTAAAATCGTAACAATATACAGCTTTTTTGGCTCGTATTCTAATCTCCAAAGTAAAATTAAATTGAATTTTGTCTATTAAAGAAAACTTCACTTGGCCTGATTTACCAAAACATTATTACATCTTTTGTTTTCTGTTTTTTTGCTCTCACTGATTGAACATGTAAAATTATTTGTGCTTCAAAACTGAAATTTGAGGTAAAAACACTTTACATTAATATCTTCTCTAATTTCCAAAGGACTTGTATTACCTCATTTCCTCTTCATACTATCTATAAAGAGGTTTTATTCTCTATTCTCTTGGTATTCAGTCCCAAAGACAGAGCTCTGATAATTTACAATGGTTAAAAACCTAACTATTTAGCTATGGAAGACGACTGTGATTTTATTTGAATAGGAGAATATCTGGTTCTCTGGGAATTTCCTTTAAAAAAAATGACCAGGCAAGGAGGACACGCTATTCAAATCTAATTTAAGATTTTAACACATTTTCACACTTTTCTGGAAACCCAAGCTCTTCCTTGGAATTCAGTCCATTTCAGAGATTGAAGGAAGGTGTCTCCTGGAACTAGGAATGTGGCGAAGCAATCTAGTTTTGAAAACAGTCTCTGATTAAAAGTAAACAAAGGGATTTGAGATACCAACAATGTAGATTGAGCTCATTTTCATTGTAGTTGAATATGTAACTTCCATGTTCTTTAAGAAAAGATGAGCCACAGATAAAACTAAATAATGTAGTGTTGACTGTACTGGGTCACAGTTATTTATATATCAATTTGTATCAGTAAATCTGTATCTCCAATTTAAATACCAGAGACTTAGCTATTTTTACCCTTTTAAGGTAAATTAGGGTACACATTACTTTTTAAATATATAAATATCTTGGACCACAAAGAAGTGTTAGAGAAAAAAAAAAGAGATTTTAACTTCAAATTAATGTTTTGCCTGGTGTTTACAGAACACACCTGTCATCCCAACACTCACGAGGCTGAGGCAGAATTACCGTTGAGTTCAAGGCCAGCCTGAGCTACACAATGAATTTAAGACCAGCCTGAACTACAGGGCGAGATCCAGTCTCCACAAAAAAAAAAAAAAAGAAAGAAAGAAAGTTAACCCTTTTCAGCTTAGAATCTTTTATGGAATTATTTAAAGAGAGGATTATTTTGGATAACCAAAACTCTGCCATACAATAAAGTAAAACTAATAAAACCAGAGAATAAAATTAATGCACATAATCCGATACCTTTCCATCGATGGGAACACCCAGTTCCTCTGAAAACAAAGGGTGTGTTATCCATTTGTAGGCTTCTTTTAACTGAACTACATCACTTCTCCCCAGCGACAGACTCTGCTTTCTGAATAACAAAAATTAATTCACCAGTATGAAAAACTTCACTTGATCCTTGAAAAAAAAGAATTATTTAAAAAATAACAAGTGCATATCATGTGTCACATTTAATACATTAGAGAAAATAGAGAATAAACCATACCAAGATTTCTCACTTCAAGGGCCTATATTCTAGTGAAATCAAGAAGTATTTTTTAATGGCATATAAAACAATTTGTTAAGCTTCAATGATAAAAACATACTACGTTTTTCTGAACTGGAATTGCCAGATCCAGGATTTTATATTTTGGAAAGGTCAGAAAGAAATGACTTTATAGTTTAGAAACTTAAAATTGTCTATTACAATAATCATATCCATGTTGAAAATGTTTGCATCTACTGTCTTGCTGAAAACGGGCCTTATTTTTGAGAAGTCAAGGTAAAAGCTCTACCTTTTTTCTCTTTACTGCTGAAGAAAAAATACTAAATCTTGAAGTATCAAGGTTCTAAAATGCTCACCAATGTAACAGCAGATAAATAGCTGAATAAATCTCTCCCACTCTTTAAAAACCTACTTATGAGCACACGGCTTTCAGGAAGTCCCTCTTATGATAGCTAGCTTTAGACTGCAACAGAAAGCAACTGAATTAAGAAGGAAGAAAAACATGCTACACTGTTACCAAAACTGCTCCACTTGATGGAGAATACTGAGATATTTCTACCAAACTAACAAGCTCACTTAATTGAAATACACTTCACACAGCCTTATGGCTATTACAGGGCTACTGTAATGAAAGAGATATTAGGGTCACCCTGAAAAATCTCCCACACACCTTTCCTACCCCTAAGTACTAGGGATTGAACCCTGCACCTTGCACATGCTGGGCAAGTGCGCTACCACTAAGCTACATTTACAACCCTCTTTATTTTGGCCTTAAACCTATAATCCTCTTGCTTTAGCCTCCTAAAGAGCTGGGATTATTAACATGCACCATACTGGCCAGTTTGAATATCCCTTCTGTCTAATTTTCACTGATAGAACTTACTATTTATAAGCAATATCCATTTTAATATAATTATGCAAGACCAAGAGATACGACTAATTGCAAGTAGAAAACAAAAAAGTAATTTAGCTAATGGTCAAGTTGATCTGGAAAAACATAATATAAAAACTACGGTTCTAGGCTGGGGATTTAGCTTAGCGGCATAAACACCTGCCTCCCAAGCACAAGGTCATGAGGCTGATTCTGGAGGTCGCTCCCAGAACCAAAAACAGAAACAAAAAACCCAAAACTACAGTTCCTCTCAAAATACAAGTTAAAAAGTAGTTCATCTATTCATTCTGTATCCAGCTGAAACTGTTTGGTTGCAAACTAGTTACAGGAGTAACTAGTTACAGGAAACTAGTTACAGGAGTGCTTTCATGTACTTTGGGTTTATAGTTTATAGAATGAAAAGGAACTCACAAACAACATGGATGCAAACTGAAAATATTTAGAAAATGGCATTTCTTAACAATGATAACAATTTTCTAAAAACATAGGAGCAAATTTTGTTATTACACCAGAACTGTAAGCTTTTTGAATAATTTAATAAAACCTAGCTAACCATACCTCTGATAGATGGCATTATTATCATCTTTTTTAAAGTGCAGATATTAAATACAAACAAAAAATAAATTACTTTTTCTATAAATTACTTAACCAAGTACGAGATTCTAATACAAACATCTACACTTCCGGGACTTTCTTTCCAGAGTTTACACAAAACACTAGCAATCATATGGCTCTTTTATTTTGTTATTTTTTTAAGGCAGTCTCGCTTTGTAGTTCAGGCTCACTTTGAACTAACTACATATACAGCCCAGGTTGGCCTGAAACTCACAGACTCCTCCAGCCTCAGTCTTCCCAGTGCTGTGATTACAGGCCTTCACCGCCACATCTCGCTTGGCCCCTTTTTATGGTACAAAATTTTAAGTTTCAATTCCCAAAAAGCTCTGGAAAATTAAATGTTTTTCAGAAAACCTGGTTGCAACCAAAAGTCTTTTCTTTCTCTCGTTTTCTTTTTCTGGTACCGGGAATCAAGCTCCCGGCCTGGCCTTGCCAGGCAGGTGCTGCGCCGCTGCGCTGTCTCCCCAGTCCTAAATCTTGATTTGAACACATGAAACTATTTACGTTGCTTAGCAGACTTAGAGTGTATATTCTTATGTTTCCTTACAGAAATATTAATATGGTAATTTTACAGTACCACACTAAGAAAGAAGTGTGTTATGTATATGACAGTTAACATCATACTATATTCCTAAAATCCAAAAAACTCTAAATTCAAAAACACATCCAGCCTCCAAGGATTTCAGATGAAAGACTGTAAATTTTATGTTTCATATGGGTTTTCTATGTATAAACTTACTATTATCTTGCCTTAACTAAAATTTAAAACTTTATATTTATGGCCTTGTTTATTTAGTTTCTAAGACCACTGTATAATTTGTTATTTTAACATAATTCCTAAAATACATTATATGATGCCTAATGTATATAAAATATTTATTACATTCACATTAAATCTGCGCACAAAAAACAATGAATCCACTTTGACAGATTATTAATACACTATTGCCAAGTAAACTAACTGAACAAATCTAACACCCTAAATTTATATAATAAAAATTATTTCTCTAGTAGCTAGTGAATTCACTCTAAGAAAGGAGAGAGTAGCAGTAAAAATATTTTAAGAATCAGGTAACATTTAAATGGTGTTGAAAACTCCCTACCAAAATTACTTACCCCATTTCCTGTTTTACCAGCAACCATGCTGCATGCTGTAGGCAATTTAGTCACACCCAAAAAGAAAAGAAAAGGGGAGAAATGTTCAGTGAAATTAAGTTCCAACATCATTACCAAAGTGCTTAAGTAATTTGCTAATCAAACTCCCCATATTCAAATTTGGAAATGTTGCAGTGACCTCAGTCTCATTTAGAATCAGAAATGAGGTAAGCTTTCACTCTGCAATGCTGTCTTGCTGTGGCCAGGAATCCAACAGGGATACCCCACCCCTGCACTGCAGATTTCTATTTCTCATTAGTGAGTATGGGTGGCTTATGTAATTTTTCTTTAAGTATCTTATTATTTCATGGGGAAAAGCCCAACAGACTGTATGCATAGACCCCCACAACACAGAATTGAAGGCTCCAGTTTGGGGAATTTTTTAGTTGTTGTTGTTGTTTTTGAGTCAGGTCTCAGTATGTAGCCCAGACTGGCTTCAAACTCACAGCAATCCTTCTGCCTCAGCATCCCAAGTGCGAGGACTGCAGGCATGAGCCACGTGACCAGCAGTTTTTTGCTCTTGTCTTTTCAACGGAGATACTATATTTAACTCTACTTTATTCACAATATTCACACCTACGTGTGCAGGAGTTAAATGTAGTAAATGTGCAACCCAGTTTGAAATATGGCAAAAACTAAGATAGACTGAGAGGTGGATAAATAAATGGATGGCTACATATACGACCCAGTAAATACAGAAAAGTAGTAACAATTGGGTATGGTGGCACATGGCTATAATCCCAGCGCTTGGGAGGCTGGGTGGGAATGTCCCTGCAAGTTGGAGCACAGCCTGGACTACACAGTGAGCTCAAGTTCAGCCCGAAATACATAGTAAGACCCTGTCTCAACAACAAAAAAATTACAAAAGTAATAATAATCATAGAATCTAACTGGGTTATGTCATTCATTGACAATTCTTCACCTTTTCTATATATTTGAAAATACTTGTAACATTTTAGCAAAAGTGTTCTGTAAAAGATGAATAAAAAACTTTTAAAAATGTAAAAAAAAATGGCGTGATATAGTGGCACTCACCTACTATCCCACATTTCGGGAGGCTAAGGCAGGAGAACTACAAATTCTAACTCAGCTTGGTCAACTTAGTTGCTTAGTGAGACCTTGTCTCAAAACAAAAAAATTTATAAAGGGTAGGAATGAGGCTCATTATAAAGGTTCTGGGTTCAATCCCCAGTACCCACCCCATACACACACACAAAACTAAAAAATGACTAAAGTGCAGATTATCATTTCACAATCATAGTTGTTACAGGATTAAATGATATTAATATAAAACACATTCCATAGTGAATTTGTGTCACTAAGATTTCCCAGTCTGCCATTAGGCTCCCACAGTTTCACTTCAGAAAAAGAGAATGGTGTATCTGCCATAACATAACATTTTGTGAACATAACAAAAACCCACACATATAAGTCAAAAAAATATCATATGTAGTGTCTGTGTTTACATGTCACAAAAATGGCCAGGCACGTCAGACCTGATGTCAGACAGAGTGTGCCCAAAAAATGCATACACTGCAGGAAAAGAAAAACAGTATGATGTTTTGTCAACAGATAGTGTTACCCTTTAGGATGGAGGACCCTAAAGGATGGGGGACCCCAGAGGATGCCATGCATCCCAGAAAACCCACTACACTACCAGCCCTCCAAGAAGAAACTGAAAATCCATGGGCAGCGATTTCAACGACCAAGGTTACCCAAGCAGCAATTCACTAATGAACTTCTGGAAAAAAATAGATACCACTCTGAGCACATCTTGGAATTTTATTTTATTTTATTTTATTTTTTTGTCTTTTTCCTTTTTATCAGTACCGGGGATCGAACTCACGACTGCCTGCTTGCAAGGCAGGCGCTTATGCCGCTGAGCTAAATCCCCAGCCCCCACATCTTGGAATTTTAAAGGCCAATATAACTTGTATTAATATCATGCTCTCTCAATCAAGTTAGTATTAAAATACTTATACTAGTTTTTTCCTAAATTGGGCATACATTTTTTAGTGGTCTCTGTATATGTACGGTATTATATATATGACACTCTTTCCTTTTCAATGAGTAAGAGTTCCTTCAAATGACCAGCAGGGTCCTGGACACTTCTAAAACTTATAATCATTCAGAAGCATTAGGTGAATTACTATGTTCAGATTTGAGCCAAGTAGAACAAATTAATCACTAAGTAAGAACTATTCCAAATGCCTGAGTTGTTTACTACATGTGCCAGCTCAACCTAACACCATTCACTGCACTATAAGATTCCTTCCTTTCCTCCTCCCAGTTATTCAACCCCTATTTCAAACTGTAAGGAAATAATATAATACACAAATTACTAGAAGTCAGAAAATTAGTAGAAGTTAGCTTCAAGCTTCACTAATCTCCGGGTCTCACTATCCTAATGGGAAAAATAAGAGATAGACTAAAATTACTATAATTTAAACTTTTTTGGATGGTTGAAAGCATTAATAAGCCAGACATGGTGGCACTCCAAAGACTGAGGCAGGATTAGCACAAGTTCGAGGTCAGTGTGGACTACAAGTGAGTTCAAGGTCAGCCTGAGCTACATTGTAAGACCCTGTCTCAAACCACTGTCTCAAAAAAAACAACAAACAAACAAACAAAAAAGTATTAGTGGACATTAGTCTACTGGTTTACAGTAAATGCTATTGACAATGATAGGATTTTGAAGTTACAAAGTTGCCCAGCACAAGTTGATCTATATTGTACTACTCTTTAGCCTTATATTTTGAAAGATCAATAAATACTATCTATACAGGAATATTAAACTTCTACAGATATAAGATTTTAATGAAATCATGTATGTAAGGAACCAAGTAAGATTCCTCACATGAACTTAATAAATGGTAACTATTATGATTGTTATACCAAAAACTTTTTTATAGTTGCAACAAGAAAAATTTAGATTTATCCCATAAAAGATGTATAGGATTTGGTCCCATTCCTTTTCACTCCAAACTCTTGTAGGTAGGTCTGGAATCCCCTACATCAATTAATTCTGAGCTACAAGAACTATCTACTTTCTTTTTTAAAGGGACTCTTCTGTCCTCTAGTGACCTTTCTGTCTCCTACAGGCAAGCTCGGGTGATGTCACCCAGTGTGCAGCGTACCCTGCCATCCTCAACTGTAAAGCAGAGCAGCACTGGAGGATGCCAAGGGAAACCGGATAACCATGCGGAACGTGAAATTAAATCATGTGTCATCTTCGTACCTAAGACCTGCCAAGGGTTTTTCCTTCCTAAGTCTTCTGCAGGCTCCCTGCTTAAGCACACCAGCAGGTTGGACAGAAGTAATCACACCCAGGGGCTAGAAGGCTGAATCCCAAAGAAGTTAGCATTGCTCACTTATTCAATTTTCACCACATTAATAATGCCCTGGAACTATTTCTACCAGGGAAAAAAAGTACATTTCTCCCTTTCAGGTCACCAAGATAATTTTAATAACTGTTCTGTTCCTTAGTCGCTGGGACAAAGTCTGTTCTCTAGAGTAAGCAATTAAATTCTTCCTCCCCAGTAGAACCAAGTAGCATTAAATTTATCAAGTTTAATCAAATTTGATACAGAGACAGTATGTCATCTTCTGAAAATCCAAGAACCACACAATTTAATCCTGGAGGCAGCTTTAACTTTGAAAATTCCAGGTAAGTCTTAAATTGAGCAGCTGAATAACTGCTTGCAAAGTGCTTATATGCTCCAGTAAAACACACACACAACTGACAAAAAAGTCAATGCTTGCCTCAAGTTTTAAAGAGTCCTGAGCTGGAAGTTTATCTAGCACCACAGGCACAGAGGCTGATTCAAGCAGAGCTGCAGGCAGGAAGGACAAAGCGGAGAGCATTCAAAATGGCATGCTGGGGAACTACAGCTGAGCCACGCTGCAGGAGGGTGCTCACGTGTGTGCACAGCGGACAGCAGGACTTCAATGATCAGACACCTAATTCAAAAGGTGAGAAATTTCTGAGTATCAAACTTGAACGTGAACCCCAGAACTGAAACCATGATATAAGAAGTGCCACACTTGGCAGCGGGGTACAATAGTACTACTTGGCAGGCTGAGGTGGGAGGACTGTGAGCGCCAGCTATATTGAGCCACATAACAAGTCTCTGCCTCAAAAAAAGAAAAGGGAAAAAAGGTTTAAAAAGAAATGAAGAGAGGGAGAGGAAAAAAGAGATTAAGCAGAGAATGAAAGAAAAAAAAAGAAAGAAGCAGTACACGCCTGTAATTCCAGCACTCTGGGAAACTGAGGCAGGACAATCGACAGTTCAATCCTAGCCTGGGCAATTCAGCAACTTAGGGAGACCCTACCTCAAAATGTAAAACATAAAATAAGGGCTTGAGAGTAGCTCAGCACAAATGCTCTGGTTCAATCCTCTGTGCCACAAAAAAAGAAAAGTCTAGAACATTTATGTATAAGTGACACAAAGTTCCATGATCGCGCAGAAAAGCAACCTTAAATTTCACCCTCAAATTCATCAAGTCACAACGTAACTGTTTTGTTTGTTTGCTCGTTTGTTTTGTTTTTTGAGACATGGTCTTGCTATATGTTCCAGGCTGGACTTGAACTCACATGGTTCCTCCTGCCTCAGCCTCCTGAATGCTGGGATTACAGGTGGGCACCATCATGCCCAGCACAATATGCCCGTTTCACACAACTGTTTTGCTTCTGTGGTAGTGAAAGGAGAAGACAGAGTACTGCTTCCACCTGTACCAAAACTCCTCTTCATCATACATAAGAAAAGAGCATGGTACAGTCGCACATGGCAGAGAAGGGACAGTACGCGACCAGCCCACTTTTATCATCTTACTGCCTATTTGTCCCTTATAAAACAGCCGCCAGGGCTGCTGGCATGCACCTGTAAGACCAACACTCAGGAGGCTGAGGCAGGAGAATAGAGAGTTCTAGGCCTGGGCTATGTGGTTAAGATTCTTTTGGAAAGGACAAGGGAAAGGGAAGGGAAAAAAGGAGAAA